TTTCCCATGTCTTAACACGTGTGCAAATTGTAATCATAGTGTCAGATACATTCCGAGACTTGGAGGACACTGATCCAGTGGGACTGGCACGGCACAACCCCAGGCTTCAGCTGCTGTTGATTTGAACTGACTGATTGAGTGGTTTAGCTCAAACCAGAAGTGAGCTGGCATTTTCTGACATTCACAAAGTAAACACCAACTGACACATGCTATTACTTTAGGACAGCACTTTCTCAGGTCTAGCCATGGGTTTCAAAATGATGAGAAATGAAGACCACAGAGATTAATGATTTAAAACAAAATAATATATCTTTCGAACAGTGAAAACTTCTCAAAATCTCACCTATAAAAAGGAAGCTGAAAGTCATGGATAGTTTTCTAGATTGAATAACTTCTGTACTTGTGATGCATGTTACAGGTAGATACATTATAAATTACACATTGTCAAAAAGTCTGAAATTTGTAATTAATTGTTCTATAGAAGCATACACCCCCTACTGTCTGGCACCTTATCCCATGTGTGATAAGGTGTTGGCTCCCTCACAGTTTATGATCTTTGGAGCTGCTTGTTCTTTTATTTCCAAAAGGAAACAGCTAAAAGACAAACAAGATGTAGTGGGATGCAACCATGGAGAAGGCATCAGGCAACAGAGGCTGTACACTTTCCTTGTATTTGGCAAAACCATGTAAACAACCTACAAAACACATCACTGCACCATCATGTGACTGTTGTGAGAGTCAGGAAGTAGCTGAAACATGTAAAGCAGATAAAAACCTTCCTGTCTGACAGAAAGAGTACTTTGTATTTTAGAACTTATTAGTATTATGTATTAGTTATTATTGTGTTGTTTAGTTCTAAAATGTAATAATGTTGTTCATGTGGGTTAGTTTGAAATATATGTTGGAAAAAAAATAGAAAAAATACGCTAGATGTTAAGCAGTGTTGTTCTTGTGTTTTAGTGTGAAATTAAAAAACATTATAACTAAATCATCAATAAATAAGGGATTAGATATTTTGTTTTCTGCTTCCACTCTTCTTATTTTTGTTCCACCAGCAGAAGTGCGAGCTGGACTGGAAGGACTGGAAAAGGTCAAGTGAGTCACAGACGCCAAAAAACACCAGTACTTTTTTAGATTTTTAGGACTTTTCACTCTTGTTTTCCTGGTATACCTCAGCAGCCTTTTTGGACCAGCCTGCCTCCAACCAGACTCCACTGGCACAGACTGCAGACTTACTCAAATAAATGACCTGCCTCTGTCCCGGCTTTGGGGTCAACGTCGTTAAGTCTGTTCATGTTGCAGTTTGACTAGAGCTGATCTATAAGTTATTGTTAAGTCAGATGTACTGCATCTTTTCTTTTGAGGCTCATTTGTTTGCAGATGTTTTCTAATACAGAAATAAATAATAATACAGAACATATTATGAATAACAGTATCAGTATCCAGAAACTATTTTATGAGGCTGAATTTGAATTGTAAAAAGTAACCTTGAAATGGAAATTTGAATAATATCTTTGTGTCCAATGAAGCGATTTTGAAACACATTGGATGCTAAACAACAAACTCTTGCTGTTACTGAGGCTACATTTTGATATTTTATTCATATATTTTATTTTTATGCCAGCTCACTTCATAGTTTCACATAACAATATATGCACTTAGTAAAATTTGAATAAAGCAGACTCCAAAGCAGAGGATGAAATTCCACAGTTTAACAAAAAGCAGGATGTGGCGACCGGGAACTGGCTGACAAGCTCCTTCCAGAGTCAGGGACAGGTGCAGACAGGTGCTCCTTTCTTGTCTGCAGGAAGGGTCAGCCACGTCCCCCTGCACAGAAACAAAGGAGAGATATATATACAAATCTCTGCATGCTTCAATCAAGACACGACAGAAAACAAAACTCCCAACTGGTTTATGCAGCATGCTTTTAAAAAGCTTTTAAGAACTACTGTACAGTTACAAGAATATTGTTCCAGTTTACACCCAAAGCACCAAAATGATCAGTCAGTTCCCATCAGAGAGACACATCTGAGAGACACATCTGAGCAGTCAGATTTTCTTTACAAAAATAGGTCTTACGAAAATGGGTGTTAATTGTTGTCGTCATTTCACTGTTTGCAGCTCATATTTCTCAACAAGCCGTAGAGGAAAATAACAAAGAGCAAAAGTAAAAGTACTCTATAGGTTCAAGTTTTATCTGTACTTAAGTAAATTTTATTTTACTTCACTACATTTGAGGGCTGAAAACTGTTCTTTCTACATAACTACATTTTTATATTTTTAAGTTAAATGGAATTCTACTTTTCAGTTTCCTTATGGTCTGACACCTGGTCTTGACTTTGAGCAAACTAAAATATAGCCTAGATAAAAGACACTGATTTGGCTTCAGTTTAAGCAGACGTTTGACCCGTTAGTAGTTCTAAAATACTGAAATAGATTTTTAATTGGTTATTCAATACTTAAAGGGCCCATATTAATGTATTTTTTCCTCATCAAAAACATACCTGGAGTTGTGTTTTGTTTCATTCATGCAAATTTAACACACGAGTTACTCTCTCAAACAGAAAACACTGTTCCACCTTGTAATGTCATGTGGTAATACAGGAAGTGCTCCACTGTGTTTTTAAATGCCATACACCTTTACTAGAATGAGCCCAGTCAAAACAGGCATTCTGACTGTGAGCGTGGTTGCCTCTCCACAGATCTGACCTGTAAGATGAAGATGAAGAGAGTAAGGTTTAATACTCAAAGCAATAACATCTTTATGGAGCTTTTGACGGACCCTCCACCAGAAAAATTACACAATGCATGCTTTTTATCATGCCGTATACTTTTACTTAAGTAGAAAAACCTCTGTCAACATGCAGTGACCTCTTCTTATTCTAGTATACTCTAACTCTCTATTTACAGATGGCACCATGAGATGTTAATCTGAGTAGAAGCCAGTGGATCCTCTCTTTGCTTTGCTCGTGAGGTACTGGTCTGTCAAGGTGTGGAACTGCAATATCCCCTCCTTTGAAACGACTCTACCGTGTCTGCCAGCTGCTTCATTATTCACTCATGGGAAACACGGGCCAGACACATGCACAGACACACACACACACATACACGCTTAAGCATCAATCTCCTTTGACACAATAGACCCATGCTCATCGCCATGGTAACGCCCTAAAGCTACAGCTGTGTCTGACTGGAGTGTGACTTCAGGCAGGAGTTAGTTACCGCCGGGGATTTAGACTGTGCAGCCGCTGACACCTCTCACACCGGGAGCTCCACCTGCTGCGGACAAAAGCAGCTAAAAATAGTAGTGTTTGGACTTTATTTTGGCTACTTATTATGTAAAGGACTAATAATAATAATGATGATGATGACGATGACGATGACGATGATGATGATGATGATAGTAGCCTATATTTAATCTTAGAAGCTTCTGAACTTATATTTTGATGTGGTGTTTTGACATTACAATCATTTCAGAATTCATACTTTGCAGTGACATCACACTGGGGGTGTTCTACATCATCAGCAGGACGTTTTTTTTTTTTTTTTTTGCCTTTGATTCACCATTGTCTCTTTTAACAACTTTCAAATACTGGCCAAGCTACTAGTGACTTGTCTAGTATTTGAACTGATTAAAACAGGGACCAAACAGGACCGGTAAAGCAGAAAACCTCATTGTTTTTTATCACAATGTCCAAAATCACCAGAGGCATTTTCAATATGATGTACAAGTGATTTAATGAGTAGTGAATTAAAGGTTCTATATCACACAAAATTGACTCTTGTGAGATTTAAGATATGTTATAATGTTGTTACGTCATCAAAAACATACTTTGAGTTGTGTTTTGTTTCATTCACACATGTCTGAGTAATTCTTTATTATTAGTCTGTCTACATCTCTAAAGCTCAAAAGTTTTCAAGGTTAAAACTATATTTTACCTTTAGGCTATGTTTATATGATGATGGTCTGAACAGAAGACACAAAAGTGGCATCTTCACTGTTTATTCTGCATTTAGACAAACATTTTTAGGAGGAAATCTGCGTGCGTACGGTGACGCAAAAGTGTGAGTATGCATCCCATTTGACATGTTTGTTTCTGTGTACTGTATGTATGTGACATAAACGTGTACGCGACGTGAGCATATCTGACCAGTGTTTTGCGTTTAGACAGAAATGCTAGGAGGGGGCGTATTCAACTTTTCCACTCTGGCTCTTTTTAAGCCTCAAAAACACCATCACCATCTAAACAAAAGGAACTTCCGATAAGATATTGTCAATGAATTTACCCTAAGACATCAAATTACATTAAATAAAGACACACCAAAACGAGACAGTTAAAGGTATACTTGCGCAAGGAGAAAAAAGAGCTGTCAGAGCCTGTCAATACCACTGGCTAAGCCTACTCTATTCTGCCAGCTCTTCTCCCAACAGCAGTTTTTATTGCAGTCATTTCACAGATAACAATACAGTACATTATGTTATATCACACGAGGTTTACAATGATCACATGCTAACAATCTTTAGGCTAAACCACCCTCCCATTTCACACTTGATTACAGGCTCCAGGTGATAAACAATCAGGTCAGTTTTCTCCCAAAACTTATGCTAACCACATGAGGGGAAAAACCCTTAGCTGTCTTCTCATGGGCGACTCAGTAGATTATCTTAAAGAGTCAGGAGTTCTTGAACTAGGACATATGACATACATATGGAAAAACCCAAAAACGCAATTGTTGATAACTTTAATCACACACACAAAAGATTAAGAATATAAATGAACACAGAAATGCTTATGATTTTAAATGATTCATAATATTTAAAATAACACATAAATTCTTTCACAGATATTTTGTCGTTTTTACCTGCAACTTCCTGTGTAAACAGGTAGAGATTGGCAATTCCAGGGCTGAGATTATCCAAATGATTCAGTTATAGTTATAGAAGTTATATGGAATTATAAAGTTATATGGAATTATAAAACACAGTGGAGCACTTCCTGTATTAACACATGATATCACAAGGTGGAACACAGCATTCAGGATTTGTGTGTTAAACATGTCTGAATGAAACAAAACACAACTCCAGGTATGCTTTTGATGAGGAAACAACATAATAGCTTAATATAGGACCTTTAAACATGAAACTGTTGTTAAATTTTGTCTTCAAGGTTTACACGGACCAGAAGACGTGCCAAAGGTGCCTTCTGTTGACTGACATTTTGTGGTAAATGTCATTCTTATAAATAGGTTTGTAGTGATCTGGTGGGAAATAGGACCACGTAATTGATTGCTATGTGTGACAGGCCAAATGCCAAGAAGAACTAGAGGTGAAAAACTTATTATACTGGCTACTGGGGGAACAACATGAAATGAAAAGTAGTAAAAGGACCAATGGGAAATCTCTGAATATGGTAATGCCCTATTTCTAAGTGGGGTTTTTAAGCTCAGAGGTTCCCACTTCCCACTGTGGTAAAATAGGCTATTCTAAATTCTGATTGAAAAATAGAGTGGAGGTTTTTCAAAAGTCTACTGGAAAATAAAAAAATCTCTAGGCTTTTAAGAGACAAATTATTTAATGCAGTTTTTAAAGAGCCCATATTACACACATTTATGATCTATGTTAAAATGTTGTTTCCTCCTCACAAACATAGCTGAAGTTGTGTTTTGTTTCTTTCATACATGTTTAACACACAAATCCTACATATTTAGGGTGTGTTCCCCTCTCAAACAGAAAACACTCTGTTCCACCTTGTGATGCCATGTGGTGATACAGGAAGTGATCTAGTGTGTTTTTAAACTCCATACACCGTCAGCCCTGGAACTGCCAATCTCTGCTAAACTAAAGATAAAAGGTAGCTGCTTGAAAGCTACCACTTCATGACATCACAAGATGGAACAGAACATTTTGAACATGTGTGAATGAAACAAAACACAACTCCAGGTATGTTTTTTGATGAGGTAACAACATTATAACATGGGTAAAACTCACAAGAATCCATTTTGTGTAATATAAAACCTTTAATCTCAATTCCTCAAACACAATTCCGATGTAAACCAGTCATATAGGATATTACATTCAAAAAATAGAAAGCTGTTTGGGTTGGCAGTCTCTGTTTTCCACTTGAAACATACATTGATTTCTACTGATTTTATATTTTTGATATAGGTAAAGCAAGGCAAGTTTATTTGTGTAGACTTTAACAATACATTTATTATATCACTTATGGCTTAAAATCCTACAAAACACCAAAGACAACAACAACAAAATAATACTCAATCTCCCAACCCGAACCAAACACAAACACCTCTTCACCGCCCACACTGCCTCAAAGTCCTCCACCTGCCCCACCAGTGCACTGTACAGAAACTCCACCTTGTCTCTTCAACAGGAGTTCAGAGTCTGTACATCCTGAGCCAGCCATGTGATTCCTCCTGCTGAGCCACACGCTCATTTTTGCCTGACCCAGGACAAAGTTCACAAGTGGTGAGTTATTTGTATAGCACAATTCGTACACAAGATAATTCAAAGTGCTGCACAGAATAAAAATGGCATTAAAATCACAATACTGTACTAACAAATCACCACAGAAATAATCATTGTATATCTTACCCCATTTGACACAGTGACACCAAGTGGTGACGGTACACAGAGCCAAACAGCTGTATCTGTATGTTACCATGTTGGAGACTCTTGTGCAACTGTGGCTAAAAATAACTTCCTTTTTTTTTTTTTTTTTTCAAATGTGGTCATCTCACCTGAACACATTTTGTATTGACAATTAATATTTTGTTTTATATTCAAAATGTATAGGCTACATCACCCTCCATTATTATTATTTTATTGCTTTTATTTCATTTGATCCAAAGAAATGTGTGCTTAAGAAATGTGAGAGATGTAATATATGGGTTCTTGTTTGAATAATATAGGCTAATAATACAAATCAGTCTGCTTCTTCTTCTTCAAATCTGAAACAAAAGCAACTAAAACAGATCACCGTTTGTTACTGACATTTATTTAATCTGAGCTCTTTAGAAGCACATCTATCTACCAGCTCCAATGAAAGTTTTCTATCTCCCCCTAGTGGATTGCCTGTCAGTGTTCTTATTGAGCAACGTTGCAATTTCCAGGGCCCCAGTCTTGATGTAACAAATCAAAAATTACATGGAAACACAGTAATAAAACATATGTCTGGGTAAGATAATAACAGTATTACATGTGTTATCGTACTATTAATGATGTTTTTGCTTACTATGTGGGATTATTAAAGGTACACAATGTAAGTCTGCCATCTACTTGTCTCTATGGATTTTTTTCTTCTTTTCTTTACCTTTACCTTGGCATAAAATGTATATCTTGCATTTATTCAATACAGTTTTTATTGCTCAAAAATACCTTGCAAAATATACATTCTTACCAGGACAATATCTGTGTCATATCTATCCACTCAGATACAGATATTGCCTTGGTAATGTTCTGATTGTCTCCATGGCGACAGATAGGTTAAATGCCATACTGTAAAATTGCTAGGCAAAGTAATTCCATCCATATTGAGACAAGCAGGTAAGGGACCCTCCATCAGAAAAGTTACATAATGCAACATCTTTAAACTGACAGACTTTTGAAAGAAAGAAAAACAGCTTTCGATTGTAATACTTTCATTGTGTGAGTAGTAATCAGGGATAAGACAATACAGATTTTTGCATAGAACTTGATGTACTTAGCTTGACAGACACGCCTTTTTTCAGATATGAGTTGGTATGCCTAGTGACAATAGAAATCTGTATCCTAGAAAAAAAAATCATTATATAAAAAGCAGTTTTGAATACATATTTTAAAAGCCTTTAATGATTGAAATACTTACAGTTGTGGGTATCTTAACAGTGTCCTCTCGAAACTTATAAGTCTCATTCACCATAGTTGCTGGAAAATACCCAATGATACCCATCTGGTCTACGTATCGCTCACTATAAACCTGAAATTAAATAGATTCCACACTTCAATGGCACAATTTCATTACATTCACAATCACAAAAACATAAGCACATACACTTCCAGACCAGAAGACTCCAGCGCCCTCCTCTGGCACAAGTTTAGAATACACATAGACCATCTGCTCCTTTTTCATGTTGATAAATCTGCAGTCAGGAGCTATGAAGTCATCCAAGGCCGTGGCCATAGACAGGACATCTGAAGTTTGCACAAAAGAAAGAAAGTAACTAAACAAAGATAAAGTTGAAGTTAAAAAAAAAAGGCCCATGCACTCGTATTTTACTTACAGGAACATTCTGGATCACCACAAAGCTTGTAGTCTCCCAGTTTATCCATCTGAACAGCCACTGACTTTTGAAGAAGTCCCAAAACAAGAAAAAGTACAAGTGAGTATATCATTTTTGAGTCCAATACAGACAATATCATACAATTCAAGCTGCAGTTGCAAGTTTGGGTAGTGGAATGAACACAAAATTGTAAAAAAATCTCAAATGTATGTCAAAGCCAAGGGAGCAATGGGTTGAGCCCCTTCAACTGTCCAATCGCTGCTCACTTCAGCTCTCCCTCTGAATTTTCATTTCCCACAAGGGATTTGGCTGACACGCAGGAACACAGCCATCATTATTCAAAGTGGGAGATTTGCATTTGGTAAAACACAACACAATGAAGTGTTTTACTGAAACCAAACACACTATTTCATATGGTAACAACAACAAAAACAAAAAAAAGTTGCTCTCGGTTAGCTGTGACTGAAAGGTTTTTATTTTGCACTCTTGTCATTTAAAGGTGCATTGTGTAACTTTTCGTGGAGGGTCCCTCAAGTTCTTGTCTTCGTGGAGATGTTATTGCTTTGCTTGGAATGTTTCATGGTTTTCTATCTTCATGAAGACCAAACCAGGCCAAATTGCAGGTCAAATCTGTGAAAAGGCAACCCCATTCACATTCACAGCCTGTTTTCTAAGTATTTTGAGATATAAAATTAACTGTAATTTAGTAAATGTAAGGTAGAGCTGTTTAATGTCATACTGTAAAAAATTCCAGGCAGAGCAGAAACAAGAAACAAGCAGGTGACGGATTTCCAACCAAGTTACATAGTGCACCTTTAAACAAAACACACTATATGGTAACAACAAAAGGAAAAGTTGTTCTTGTTTAGCTGTGCATATGACTGAAAGGTTTTTATTCTGCACCTTTCTCTTTATGTTAAATTTATGTTGATTATGTATGTTTTCATTTGTTTATATTGTGATTTAATGTCTTTCTTATTCTGTAAAGCACTTTGATTTACTTTGTGTACGAATTGTGCTATACAGATAAACTTGCCTTGCCTCTTTTTTGTTTTGTTTTTTTCTTCAAATGTCTAGCCAAAGCATTCACAACCTATATATCATATGTAGCCAATATAACCAAGCTATTTATCTATAATGATTATTAAACTGTAATAACACTATTGTTATATATTAAACAAAAACAAAACAATAAAACATTGGCTTTATTGTCATGTAACTCTGACCTTACAGATTAAAGTATTATATTTAGCACACACAATAATGAACAAGACAAATCAATCAATCAAAGCTTTTGTAAAATTAGGTCTATTTTTGTATTTGTTTATTTGTTGGAGTTTAATTCAATTCCCAGAAACATTGATTAGACTGTTTCAACTTGAACATACATAGATTGTATCATAATCTGACAATAAAAACAAAACATTATGAGGTCATTGAGGTTTATCAGTAGAAAACATTCTTTATACACTCTATGGGAGCACGCAAAGTTATATAATAGCGATGTCAAAATCCTCGATCGTCTTGCATCAGTTGCTTTTTCTACGTAAACAATAGATCAATAACATAATTTCTTCTTTTGGCTGATGTAAAACGCTGTAAATCGCTAAGACTGTTTTTGGCGTTTGATTGATATACCCGGATGGCTGGATGGGCGGATTCTACCTGTTTATTTATTTATTTGCATTTATTTATTTTTATTAAATAATTGTAAAATACATATATTTTGCAACATAATAACATAATTATAAGTAATAAAATAAGTGATCAAATGCAGTTCAAACTTAATAAACAAAGAGGCGGAGTTTACGATAGAGACTAATCATAAGAGTACCCGCCCGTGCCGTTCGAGCTTCTGAATAAAACAAACGCACATATTGACATTTACGGTGCTGTGACGTACGTCCACTGTAAACTCAAAAAGAGCCTCTCGGACGGCTCTGTTATTGTTCGGTTTGAGGTGTGGGGGGTCGTGGGCGCTTTGTTTTTAGCTTTGGGGGGGCGTAGGATACTGACATCAGGCTAGGTCAACAATACAGCGAACGCGTTTTATCCGATTTACCATTATTCGATTCATTTCCGCGGTAAAAGTTGAAGTTCAGACGGGACGCGTAGTAGCTGCTGCGGATGGATGCGCGGGTATCTGACTTATTCGGCTCAGGAAATGAACCCAGCTCGAAATCAAGTTGGTGGTGCCAGTAATGGAAAGCAAGCAGGGATCGGACTTGGGCTAGCCTCCAAAAAAGCTAATGCAAAAGCCAACAAAAAAGCAAGGGCGCGATTCTCTCGGAACAACTTCAAACCAAGTAATAACACGCCGTATCTACCTCCGGAGGTAAGCATAAGCTGAAAATCCATCCTGGTGGCTAAATAACTCTACAAACACTCTAGCATTACGTATTATTTACATGCCCTGCTCAAATTAAACCAAAATTGACATAATCGTATAGTATTTCCGGTGTCTAGCTGTCCATTAGCTGTACAATGCGTCTTCTTTGAACCTGCTATCAAGTGACACGTAGCAAGTTGGCTACATGGCAAAAAGAAAGGATTTTCAGTAATAGATTTAGTTACACTTGCTATTTTATGTCTTTAACATGATCACAGTGCATTTTACAACTTATTTACGTATAGCTTAGTTTAGCTTGAGACTGGTTTCTTATCTTAGAGGAGACAGCTGTGTTTGTAAATATAGGAAAGGGGGCGGGGGACGTCTGGTGACCTTTGCCAAGCTAAGCATAATGACTTAATAACATAGTAACAACGCTGTATGGACATAGTGATGACCATAGAGTCCAATTAAGTATATCATGGCAAAAAGATGTTTTTTTTTTAAATTTATGTTTTTTATGTAACAGCTTGCATATACCACTGTCTTGAGAAGGAGACTGAGGACATGTCTGAGCATATCTCATATCTTGTCATGTTGTGTAATAATTTAGAGAAGTTCAGAGGAGGGCATTAACATACAGGGGAAGTTAATGTATGCTATTTATTTAAAGGTCCTATATTACACAAAATAGATTCTTGTTAACTTTGAGCCATGTTTTAATGCTGTTACCTCATCAGAAACACACCCAGAGTTCTTTTGTTTTCATTCTTACATTTTTGCGTTACCCTTTATTATTAGTCTGTCTTCATCTTCAAAGCTCAAAATGCTGTGTTCTACCTTGTGATGTCATGTCGTGGTAGTTTTCAAGTTGACAGTTGCCTTTTATCTTTTGTTCAGTAGAGATTGGCAGTTCACAAGGTGGAACAGAGTGTTTTCCATTTGAAAGACGAAGTTAGCCTGAACTTAAATATTCAAGGCTTCTGTGTTAAACGTGTGAATGAAACAAAACACGACTCCGGAAGCGTTTTTGATGAGGAAACAACATTATATAATACATAAGGAAATGGCGTGATATGGACTCTTTAACAACTACACTGTTATTGCTGTTTTACAAGTTCAAATGTGTAAAACAACAAGTGGCTTCTATAACATATTTTGCTTGTTTGGGTGTTTTAGCCTGCTGTGTCTTTTCCATACAGACTAGTTTTTGTTTCTGTTTTTGTCTGTCTGACCTTTTCACATTCTCTCTATTCTCGTCCTCTCTTAGGCTGAAGAGGGAAACATAGAATACAAGGTAAACAGTGTGTAATATTTAAATTTAAGTACAATTTAAGTACAATTCTTTATTTTAAATCTTACTGTCTGTCTAGTTGAAGCTAGTGAATCCAACTCAGTACCGTTTTGAGCACCTGGCAACCCAAATGAAATGGCGTCTCCAGGAGGGAAAAGGCGAGGCTGTCTATCAGATTGGTGTAGAGGACAACGGTATGCTTGTGGGACTATCGGAGGAAGATATGAGAGCATCATTAAAGACTCTACATCTCATGGCACAAAAGTAATCGACTCAAATTGACTTCTCAATTCATGTACGCTACCAGTCAAAAGTTTGGGCTTACCCTCTCATTTAATGTTTTTTTATATGTTTCTACTTTCTACATTTTACAAACGTACAGCAGGCATCAAATACAAGATATATGATATTATGCAGCAAAGAACAAGAATAACTCTACTAGGTATTTTTTTTATCTAACCAAATCCTGAAATTAGTCACTCTTTGCGTTGTCGAAAATTATTTTGTAGAGTTATTTAAATGTATCTATACTACATAATTCCATTTATGTTGCTTCTTATATTTGTTGTCTTCTGTATGTGTATCAAATGTGAAAGTAGTAAGAAAAAAACACTGAATGAGATGATGTGTCCAAACTTTTAACTGGTCATGTAAGTGAGACTTTTAGGTTTTAATATTGGTTTTGTTTTGTTTTTTACCAGAGTGGGAGCTGACATCACTGTCCTCAGACAAAGTGAGGTCGATGAGGACTCTGACTGCCCTCGTAACATTGCTGAAGTTCTCATTCGCAAAGTGCCAGACGACCAACAGGTAAGTCACAACCACTGTAGGTACGCCTGTCATGATAAATGATATAAACAATAAACGATAATATTGAAAAATGTATGCCACTGACACAATAACCCAAGAGCAGACTTAAATCACAAAAACAATTCTAAATGTAAAATAAATTAAAAAAAACATGATCTGCAATAAATACGCAGCAGAATGAAATTCTTTAGTTTTTAATTTGCATCTGTAATGAGTCATAGAAGTTATTAATTCTTTTATATCTTGAATTTTAGCATATAGTCAAAAATTACCAGCAATTTCACAGCAGTGCAGAGAAAATGTAAATGTGATAAATATTAACCCCAAAAAAAGTTCCGGGTTTTACGTATTGAACAATAAGTCGATATAGTAATTATTGTGACAGACCTACTTTAGCCTCTCAGCAATTAGTTGGGATAGTAATAATTCCGGAAGTGCTGTGTATTAAGTCCTTTGTGTTGTTTCCCCACAGTTCTTGGACTTGCGAGTAGCTGTACTGGGTAATGTGGACTCAGGAAAGTCCACATTGCTCGGAGTCTTGACACAGGGAGAACTGGACAATGGACGTGGTCGGGCAAGACTCAACCTCTTCAGACACCTCCATGAAATTCAGACAGGGAGAACCTCAAGTATCAGCTTTGAGATACTTGGATTCAACAGCAAAGGAGAGGTGAGAGAACATGAATAACTGAATGAATAACATAAAGAAAACATCCATCCATTTCTTATGCTTATAAGTGGCTGGATCGTGGGGCAGCAGTTTAAGCATGGACTCCCAGATGTCCCTCACCCCAGACACTTGGGAGGTGGTCCCTGGGAAGAAAACAAAAATGTGCTTTCTTTTGAGATCACTCATATATTTTTTTGTTTTAGGTTATAAATTACAGTGAGTCTCGAACAGCAGAGGAGATTTGTGAGAGTGCCTCTAAAATGATCACATTCATAGACTTGGCGGGGCACCACAAGTATCTGAAAACTACCATCTTTGGTCTCACCAGCTACTGCCCTGATTTTGCGATGCTGGTCGTCAGTGCAAACACAGGCATTGGTAAGAACTTGCCTTTCTTCTTAAAGGGTCTATGTCACACTGTTTTCTGTATGTTATAATGTTTCCTCATCAAAAACATACCTGGAGTTGTGTTTTGTGTCATTTTTCATCATAACATCACAAGGTGGAACAGATAATTTTGAGCTTTGGAGATGTAGACAAACTAATAATAAAGGGTTACTCAAACATGAATGAAACAAAACACAACTCCAGATATGTATTTGAGGGTGTAACTACATTCTAACATGACTTACACCCATTCGAGTCAATTTGGCATAATCTAGAACCTTTAATTCCAGCAACAGTAGTTTGTTTGTGTACACCTCTGCAGTTTAGTGGATCAGCTGAAGCTTGGCAGTTGTAATATCTGACCTTATGTAACAGACTGCCCTTGCCCCTGCCTACCAGCACGGGTCCCAGAATATCTCACATTCAATCCATTCATGTAACAGTACATCTGACCCACTAGACACAGCAGCCCTGAGACGTAAACCCGACACTTTCCAAAAGCAGTAACTGAATGCTGTCCTTATTACCAGTGCTGACCATGTGCAAAGAGCAAAACATGTCTGTGTCCCAAATACCAGACCTGCTTTTTTTTTTTTCTAAAATTGAAAGAATATACATTGAAATTTAAAAATTGCAGTTTTGTAAAAGGTGTTAATATAGATATATTACAAAAAACAGTTACATGGTGATTACTGGTCAAACAGTAACTGACCAAGTTACAGGTCAGAACTGTGGAGAGGCAACCCTGCTCACAGTCAGAATGCCTTTTTTTTTTAAAAAGATATTTTTGAGCTATAAAACCACTTACAATTGAATAAATGTCAGGTAGAGCTGTTTAATGTCATACTGAACATTCCAAGCAGAACAATGACATATCCTTAGAAACAAGTAGGTGAAGGACCCTCCACCGAAGAAGTTGCACCTTTTAATATTGCAATACATACACATAGTTTTGCTAAGTGAAAAAAATTATAAGCTTCTTCTAATAAGAGAAACAGCACAGTAATGAACATGGCATTACGTCATATTTCTTATATTATTTGGTCCCTTGTCCTACCTGTACTTTTACAAGAATCATTAATGAACCTGGAATGTATAGGTCTTAGACAGGTTTTGGACAGTCTTAATACTTTAGCTTGTGGGTTTCAGTTTCCTACATGTGATAACGCACAACTGATACCGGATCTGATACTGTGCAGGTTCCACATGTGAGACAAGGTTCACCTCAGGATAGTGTCAGGATGGCCGAGCGGTCTAAGGCGCTGCGTTCAGGTCGCAGTCTCCCCTGGAGGCGTGGGTTCGAATCCCACTTCTGACAGCAATTTTTCAGTTTGACTGTGATATTTTTGTCCAATAATTAAACCGACCTTTACTGTCCCCCGGGGAAATGCTTTTTCACAGACTGTGTCAAACATGGATGAAAAAAAACAACAAATGGAAACAGGACAAACACACAGACATGAGGGTCCAGATTACTGTACTCCCACCTATTTATTACAGATTAGAACTGTGCCTCTAATGGCCTCTTTTTAAGATCCTGACTCAGTACTTTGATGCATAGTACACACAAGGACAGGTCAGCTGGAAAAACAACTTGCCACTCAAGTGTCCTAACAGTTACAAGCTACAGCTGATACATCTGACACTTCACACTGATCCTGCCTGAGCTAATCTGGGAAACTTTCCACTGATGTAAACATGTCAGGATGGCCGAGCGGTCTAAGGCGCTGCGTTCAGGTCGCAGTCTCCCCTGGAGGCGTGGGTTCGAATCCCACTTCTGACAAGATTTTGATTTCACTTGCATGTCTAGGTTGGGTTTTAAGTTGGTTTGTTTGCTGTTCATAGTTAAAGACCACATTGGAGAAACATGTAAATAAAAAAAGTAGAGTCTGTCCACATGTAGGGCTGCTCTATCAAGAAATGAATTATAAGCACACGGAGAATTAAGAGATTGAATAGATGGAAAAACGCGAAGGTGTATTTGGGTGTGCAGAGAGCCAGCGAGGTTCAGTTAGAAAAGTGTTTAGTGTTTTATTGTGGTGTTTTCTGTTGTGAGATCACACATCAAACTTAGTTATCATGATTTGATATCAGTGTTTAATCTTTTTGGTGTTGATGAGATAGGTAGAGATACTCCATTTTAGAACTCTTTTTGTATTTTTTATTTATTTATTTTTACTTTTCAACCTTTTTTCTAAATAATAATAATAAGAAAAACATGAAAACTTAGAAAGTAATTAGATTTACACAAACTTTATTGATCCACAAGGGAAATTATTTGGATACAATAGACACACATCACAATATATTACAATAACAAAAAACAACAATACAGATGGTAATAACAAGCGACTGTTGTCAAATAAGACATAATGTATATGCACAAGCAACAAAAATAAAATATATACATACAGCAATACAAAATATATCTCCCTATTTTTTCCTACAGCTGGTACAACGCGGGAGCATCTTGGGTTAGCCATGGCTCTGAAGGTGCCCATCTTCATTGTCATCAGTAAGGTGGATCTGTGCATGAGAGCTACGGTGGAGCGCACAGTACGGCAGCTAGAGCGCGTCCTGAAGCAACCTGGATGTAATAAAGTTCCAATGGTTGTGGCGAATAAAGACGATGCAGTAACAGCAGCACAGCAGTTTGCCCAGTCACCAAAGTATGTCCTGTTTTGTCCGATTTTATATATATGTTTTTTGCATACATGAAATATCAAACAGCAATATCTTTGTTTTCTTCTAGTATCACGCCAATCTTCACATTGTCCAGTGTGTCTGGAGAGAGCTTAGACCTACTGAAAATTTTCTTCAACATTATCCCTCCACTGAGCAACAGTAAAGAACAAGAGGAACTAATGCAGCAGCTGACAGAGTTTCAGGTTGGTTTAAAGCAGGCATGTCCAAACTATGGCCCGGGGGCCAAATGCGGCCCTTAGACAAATTTTTCTTGGCCCTCAGGCTTCCAGGTAAAGTGGCCCAAATGACCTTGCATCAATTAAAAAAATATTTTTTACTGCAAGTTTTTTGAAATTCTACCTTGATGAAGCCAATATTTAATATTTAGTGTGTGATTTTAAGGATCTTAGCATGAATAAAGACTGATGGCTCATTCTAACGTGTTCAACATGCACATATTTCAATTATTCAGTGTACTGAGCTCGAGTCTATGGCCCTCGATCGGCCCTCTGCTTCGTCTGTGTTTAGACATGTGGTCCTTGATGAAAAAAGTTTGGACACTCCTGGTTTAAAGGAAACGGAAAAGTAATTTCATGTACATTTAGCAATAAACGAAACTGACTATAAATGTATTCATGCAGGTGGATGAGATTTACTCAGTTCCTGAAGTGGGAACGGTCGTTGGAGGAACTCTGTATAGGTAACATCTTTTTATCTAACTTATGTACATAGCAAAAGAAAAATTCAGTTCATTGGAGTAGACCACAGTAGTCCACGGTGTAAGTCAGTAAGTGTAGTCAGCATTATATTGGAGAAACAAAACAGCCACTTCATAAGAGGATGTACAAACACAAGCATGAGAGCAGCATGGGACCTCAGTCCCCAATACATCTCCATCTCAAAGCCACTAACCACTCCTTTGAGGATAGTGCGGGACAGATCTTAGCCAAAGAAAAGAAACGCCTTGTCTAACAAAAACTGCCTCTTTAACTGCCCTCTCAAACCATTAGGATAGCACAGTTCATACACAAAGTAATTCAAAGTGTTAGGAAAGACAATCCATGTTTGAACAGAAATAGGGGGCTCAGACATCACCTGTCTCTCATTTACAACTTCATCCTCAAACCTAAATCAAAACAAAGAAAACAATAGCCTGTATGCCTAGTGGTGTGAAAGCACACATCTGTGGTCTGAATGATTATGCAAATATTACTAAGGCACAGCTCCCACTTAGTGTAGGAAACAGTTCAACAAACAGAAATTGTAACCAAGTAGGTGTGTTGGTTTTAGAGCAGTTTCAGTGTAGTTACAGTAGCTGCTTCCCTGCTGGCAGGTATAAGGCAGTGTACACCAGCAATCTGTCCAGAACTGAAGAAGCAGCTTGGTTGAGCTGCAAAACATCTTTGATCAAAAAACTTTTGTCCAGTTGATAGAATTGAATTTCTTCTTTGCCATGGACTCTACCTGGATGACTATAGGATAACACGGATATCTTATGTACAAATAAATAAAAATACATTAAAAATAATCTTTTTAATAACTAAACTGTTTTCTCTTTACTAGTGGCATTTGTCGTGAAGGGGATGACCTCGTGGTAGGGCCTACAGACGCTGGACAGTTTCACAAGCTCACAATCGGCAGCATACAGAGGAATCGCTCGGCATGCAGGGTATTAAAGGCTGGCCAGGCTGCCACACTCGCACTAGGAGAATTTGACCGGTCATTACTAAGGAAGGTCAGTCCAAGGTTAAATATGTCTTATAATATTACACTGACTTTTAACTCTTTTTTATAGTTTTATTTGAGTTCTTAACTTTATTGTGTTTGTGTTTTAGACAAACTTTATTGATCTACAAGGAAAATTACTTTGACACAGTAGCTGACACATCATAATATATTGTAATAACAAAAAGAAAAAAATATATAAATGGTAATCATTTCAAAAGATATAGCAACAGACTGGTGTCAAATAAGGCATAATTATATAAATTTATATTTACAAATAAAAATAAAATAAAATAGAAATAAATAATAAAATATCTCAGCAATATACAAGAGATCATAAGGAAAAAGAAAAATGCTACTATGATATAATGATTGACAGGACATGGGGTTATCTGTTACATAAGTGTGAGTTGTTGTATAGTTGTATGGTGTATGGTATGAGTGTAGCCCTGTATTACTTATATTTTTTACTAGTGTATTTGACATTCCGTTTTTATCTACAGTTTTAAGCACTTCAGAGCAGTACTGTCATTCTTTAAATGTGCTAAATAAATAAACTTTGTGGAAGTGTAAATGTTATTTCTAAGCGCACTATCTTCAATCTGCTTTAACAGGGTATGGTGATGGTGAGTCCAGAGATGGATCCTACTATTTGCTGGACATTTGAGGCAGAAGTTGTGCTCCTTTTCCATGCCAAGACCTTCCACAAAGGTTTCCAGGTTACTGTGCACATAGGCAATGTGAGACAAACTGCCATTGTGGAGGAACTATATGGAAAGGTCAGTCTTGAGTTTATTTCAATATCTTTCTGATGGATTTATGTGCAGTATTTAACACTGTCTTTTTATTCTTTTTATCTTATTTATTCTCCAGGAAGCATTAAGGACAGGTGAAAAAGCAGAGGTCCGTTTTAGATTTATAAAACATCCAGAATACCTAAAAGTGGGAGCAAAAATGCTCTTCAGAGAGGGTGTCACCAAAGGTATCGGACATGTCACCAAGTTACATCCAGTGGCTCAGTACAAACCATCCCAAAGAGAGGAGGACGGGGCCTAGATACTCCACAATACAACACAGGCCTCTTTCCACGTCCCCCATGGACAGTAAAGCTCTTCTCACTAATCTTGTCTATTATGTTTTAGTCTTTTACAACAGGTCTGTATGCTTTTCTTCACTCTGTGGTGTTCTACAGGTTTAATGTGAGGCACTGACAGAGATCACCATCTCCTTTTGTACAGACTAGAATGTAAACATGTAAACCCAAGTGGACCTCTTCTGTGGCAGAATACACAGTGCACTGTTTACACCTGTGCGCTCCATCAGCACATACTGATCGCACATTGCCACTTGCACTGAAGCTTGGGCCTCACTCTTTTTTAACACACAAACACACTCAGCACCACTGGGCCTGAAAACCAAGAGAGGTTTTTGTCACCTTTTAGTGTTTTGTTACCAGAGTGCCTCAGACACATGCAGTAGACTTTGGTCTATTTTAATACACACATTTCTCTTTTCTAGAATGTGTTTAATATTCAGCCTTCATACACTTGTGTGTGTTGAGTTATATTTGTATTTGCTGACAAACCACTTGAAGAAGATCAATGTTAAGAGTTGTCACTCTAACCTATTTTTAGGTCAGTCAGCTGAGATAAGTCTCATAATAGCCTTTAAAGTGCTTTTAGTTCCTCAGGTTTGTATAGAAAACTGCCACTTTGTTAGAACCTTTCCAGTGGAAGTGTTGCTTGTGAACATCTTTATCTGAATATGCAGGTTTGTATTGCTGCCTTCATGTTTCTGTGTCACCTATTGTTACTGATGTCACAGCCCACACAGGGCTTTACACAGTGCCTACAGAACTATTTAAATGAACTTCCATTAGTAAAAGTAACATACTACTTGAGTTGGTGCTACTTAAAGATGTGTTTCCAAAGTGTGTTATGGGCTAGTTGTGGCCTCTTAAAGGTGCACTACATAACTTTTTGATTGGGGGGTCCGTCACCTGCTTGTTTCTATTGTTCTATATAGAACAATGTCATTGTTCTGCCTGGAATGTTCCACAGTATGACATTAAACAGCTCTACCATACATTTACTCAATTTCAGGTGTTTGTATAACTCAAAAATACCTAGAAAGACTGCATTCTGACTGAGTGGGGTTGCCTCTCCACAGATCTGACCTGTCACTTGGTCTGGTTAGGTCTCCATGGAGATAGACAGGTTCAATACCATACTGTGAAACATTCCAGACAAAGCAATAATATCTCCATGAAGAAAAGCATTTGAAAGACCCTCCACCAAAACAGTTACACAATGCACATTTAAATGCATGTTGACGAGGACAGGTGAAATGTTTTGTTACACGTGCTGATTAGGGAGTTAGTTCTAAAGCATTTCAACCAAAGTTTTTCTAGTTCTGTCAGATGTCACTGTTTCTGATTATGCATCTGAGAGGTATTTTATAGAATATTTTAATAGCTTTGGTTTTTACAAATACATTAATTAAGTTCATTCATTTAAAAGTTTGTCTGCTTGTTTTTCTGAAAGGAAATTGAATATTCTGTAATCATTTGGGTGAAATGCAATATTTATGTACAGATCCAATTAATGTGTTAGAATAAAGAGTTATCTATGAATACATTCCTTTGTTATATTGTGATTTTTTTATTCATTTGAAGAGCTAAATGTTAACAGTTTCACATAAAAAGCAGCCATTTGGAACCTTGTGTGTGCTAATGATCATTATAAAAACTCCTTGCATATGTAAATAAAATTATATGCAGTGGTGGAATGTAATGAAGTAAAAGTACTGTATTTAAGTATACATTTTAGGCATCTATACTGCTCAACACAAGTCTTTATCAAAGTCAGTACATTTGAAGCTTTATTAGGTCTGAAAATAAGCTTACATACATACTTTTTTCTCTCCGTGTATATTTGTAAAGAGGCACTTTAAGAGTTGTACTTCAGTAGATTTTTCTTTCATTTGTATTTTTTTGCTCTGGTATCTATACTTAAGTAACAAAATTGAGTACTTCTTTCACCAGTTATTCTAATGGTAGTTACAAATTTTAAATAAGTTTAAATAACAATTTGCCATTTTTATTAAGTGTTTTATAGTTCTTTATCTTATTCATACATAAAATACAATAATATACCAATCCACACTATACAAATTCATGATGCATAAAGACATATTTGGAGTAAATGAAATGACAATAGAAATATCCCCAACACCTGTTCCTGTTAACTTTTCTTGAAAAATGAATCCAGGGTCCCCGTACTCCCACCAGATCGAGGTCGTTTGGCTTGTGGCCCCATTTGACCTTTAACTTTTGTTTTCCCGGCTCCTGACCCTAACCTCAGAGATGTTTGAGGAACTGACCCAGAAGAAGCTGAAGGAGATCTTACAGAGGTTGAAAATGAACTCTGAAGCTCCATAGCAAAGTGAAAGTCCATGTGTTCAGGCATTTCCCAAACTAAAACTTCCTTTCCACACTTTTCACACTGACACAAGTCTTCTTTGTCGACCACAGCTGGGACACTGGATTGAATATCAGATTTACTCGAAGAATTGGCAGTCAAATCACCATTTTCATCATCATCCAATTGGCTTTTGAAATCATCACAGGAATTTACCAAGCTGTTGTTGTTAACTATGTCATCTGTAGGTTTTAAAATCAAAACTGCAGAATTTATTTCAGAAACAGGATCAACAGACAGAGTAGTTTCTGTTTTATCTGCAATGCAAGGCATTGGCTGTACACTTCTTTCCATTTGTTTCTTTTGGAAGAATGAAGAGATGCTGCTTTTGGGGTTAGCTGGACTGGAATTGCAACTTTTCCGACCCTCACCTGTAAATGTGTCCTCAGAAACCGAGGTCGAGCCTTTTTCTCCTCCCTCTTGTGCCTGTACTGACAGTTTATGTTTTTGTTTCTCTGTAGCTTTTTGAAACAAGGACTGAATACTTCCTGGTCTCTTGGGCGCTGTGCCATTTTTCACTTCAGAGGATGCCTGGGTTGTGGGTTGAGTGGAAGCGAAAAGATCCTGTGTAGCAGAGAGATCGCTAGAAAGGAAGCCAGCAATGCCCCCGGCGGATGGTGCATCGTTGAATTTGCTCGCTGACAGGTGAAGCAAGGTGAGGGGTGGAGTCCTGGAGTTTAACAGTCAAACTTTAGACCAGAAAAAAAAACATTCATACTTTTCATTTTGTTCAACTTACCAGGCTTCTTGTTGGTTTCCAGATGTGTTGAGACTCTTAATGATTGAAAAACTGTCACTTGAAAGTTTGCTTGCTTCATAACGGACCAAAGCACAACAGCGCGAGAAGCTGTTTGGTCGCTTGTCTCCAAGTTGACGTACTCCAACAGTTAGAAGTTTCGCCACCCTACCATTCTTAAACAAATTGAAGAAAATCTACTGTAATGTATGAAAATAATCAGTTTGGATAAATCATTTTCATATTTCGAAGGACACTGTAAACTTACTGTATCCCTGTCTTTAATTAGCCTTTCCTCCAGCTCCAGGGCCAGCTGATGAAGCCAATATTGCACCTACAAAAATGTCTTACATGATGACACTGCATGTTAAAAGGTGCATTGTGTAACTTTTCTGCTTTTCTCCATGGATATTATTGCTTTGTTTGGAATGTTTGACAATATGACATTTAACTTTTTGTACCTTCATGGAGACCAAACCAGACCAAGTTACGAGTCAAATCTGTGGAGAGACAACCCTGCTTTCTAGGTTTTTTTGAAAAATAAAACCAACTCTAATTTAATAAATGTAAGGTAAGGCTGTTTAATGTCATACTGTGGAACATTCCAGACAGAACAGTGACATATTCATAGAAACATGCAGGTGACGGACCCCCAAACAAAAAGCTACATCATACACCTTTAACAACTGGGTATAACAGAGACAAAGTAACTCTTTAAACTCAACACTATTTTAATGATAGTAGTACCTGCTCCTTTGTTGCCAATGATGTTCTTCCTGGAAAATTCTTACTGCAACCGATGGACTTAGGAAGCTGTCTCGGCTTCACTGGTTCAAATTCAATTCCTCTGCACAGGTCGTATAGCCACTGACTGCAAAACAACAGAATTGACCATTATGAAGGAAAAACTCAGCTGCAAAACTTGTCTGAATTACTGAATATGTTTTTTTGAATAGAAGGATAATTCCAGTAAATCTATTTTTTAAGTTTAGTTTATTTAGTTTATTTAAAAGAGATCATGTACAGACTTGTTACAAAAATAAGCTACCACTAACGGAGCAAAATAAATTTCAATTTTGTCAACTTAACACAATTTTTAGAGTGAGGGCATTTTGATAATAAATCTACAAATGTTGAGTCTGATCCCTTCCACCCCACTGCACGAGATCTTGTTTATTGTGAATGGATAGAGGCTGTACTACATTAACGTTTGTCTATTTTATGACTTTTATTGATCTGCACACTTGTTTTCATTGTATTAATGAACTGTTTTATTTGAGTGTATGGCCTGTCAGTTTCATTATTTACAGTTTCATATAGTAATCTCTGTGCTCTCGACAATCTTTACTCCTAAATCTTTTGAAATTAAAATTAAAAATATGTTAAAGAAAGTATTCTTAAAACTTAAAGGTGCACTATGTAACTTTTCAGTTAGGGGTCCATCACCTTCTTGTTTCTATGGATATCTCATTGCTCTGCTTCAAATGTTACACAGTATGACATTAAACTACCTTACATGTATTCAGTTACAGGTGGTTTTATGATAGAAAGGTTTAATGCCATACTGTGGGACATTTCAGACAAAGTAATCATATCTACATAGAGAAAAGCAGATGGTAGACCGTCCACCAGAAAAGTTACACAATGCACCTTTACATGTTGCGACTTACCCCGTCTTCTCCCCAAAGTGTTGCCCCAGCTGAGCCTGTGAGAACTGTGTGAGCTCTCCCATATTCTCTATCCCCAAGGTTTCAGTTATAGATGTGCCAAGTTTGCCTCCAAGGTTACGACTGTGTGAACAAATAAGTAGAATAACTTCTCATTTCATTGAGTAGAAAAACAAAAGAAAACAAATGATTTGCTTTCATCATTGTATTTGTTATCATTTGTAGAATATTTTAATTTATATTTCAAATGGTAACTAAAATCACTTACATTTTACTGATGGGCAGTGAGTTGAACAGCTCAGGCACAGAGTCCATAGGCAGAATTGTTTGTCGATTTGGCTTGTTAAGTCCACATGCTAATTTGGCTAGCACCTACACATTACAATACAATTAGAACACTTTATATTTTACATATGCATATACACACTACCAGTCAAAAGTTTAGAAATGTTTTCTCGTTTAAAATTTTTTTTTTTATATGTTTACCGTATTTTCCACACTATAGGGCGCTCTGGATTATAAGGCGCACTGTCATTGAATGGTCTATTTTTGAACTTTTTTCACAAATAAACAGCACCAGACTTTAAACAAAACACAACAGTTAGATGGTTCAGTCGAACTTTGTTTGGCCCGCTCACGGTGACTCTCGGCTTTGTTCGATTGTAGCGCGTAGGGAGGGTGTTGTCTGGGACCGCTGGATTGTTGGCGTGTTCGCAGTGACTCAGTTGTTCAGTTGTGGCTAGAAGTGGCACATTGCACTCGCTTTTTCGGTTCATTAATCTGTTCCGTTCCTTCGCTGTGTGGTTGCTGTCTGCTCCGTGTGTGTTTGTGTACGCTGCAGGTGGTGCGGCTTTGTAGTTTACTGAAGTCGTGCTGGGACACCCAAGTGGATTCGTTTATAGGGCGCTCTGGATTGTGGGGAGCGCAGTCGTTTTTTGATGGGGTTGGAGGCTTATGAGCACACCCTATGGTGCGGAAAATACTGTACTACTTTCTACATTTTATATACATACAGAAGATATCAAATATATGAAGTAAGATATATGGAATTATGTAGCAAACAGGAAAAAAGTAAAATAACTCTAAATACTAAATATGTTTTTTAATATTTTATAATCAAATCTTTAAAAGGTGCACTATGTAACTATTTGGTTGTGGGTCTGTCACCTGCTTGTTTCTCTGAATATGTAATTTCTCTGCGTGGAATGTTTTACAGTATGACATTAAACAGCTCTACCTTACATTTATATATGTTATATACTATACTATATACCATATACTATAGGTGGTTTTATAGCTCAAAAATACCTAGAAAAACAGGTATTCTGTGAGGGGGGGGTTGCCTCTCCACAGATCTGACCTGTAACTTGGTCAGGTTTGGTCTCCATGATGATAGAAAGCTTTAATACCATACATCAGAACAAAGCACCAACATCTCCCCTGAAAAAAGCATGTGATAAACCCTTTACCAGAAAAGTTACACAATGCACCGTTAAAGGTATTTTTTACACACTTTTTCTTTACTACATAATACTATATATCTTGCGGCCTGTATTTGATGTCTTCTGTACGTATCTAAAATGTCGAAAGTGGTAAAAATAAAGAAAAAAAAACAGTGAATGAGATGCTGTGTCCAAACACAGTAAATAGTGTAAATAGTGATCCCAGACCTTATTGTGAGCTATCCCTGCTGAACAGCGGAACCCTGTGTCTTTCTCCACAGCAGCTCTCATTTCTTCAACGATCACCGCTCCCAGAGTCAGCTGGACCTCTGATGGGTACTGGTCTTCAGACAGGTTGGGGGGCAAAGAAGACAGCCACTGCTCTAAACCTCTGGACCTCTCTCCTTCTGCAAGTATCAATATTACAGAACCCATATTACACTATGTCCTGATCTATGTTATAATGTTGTTTCCTCATCACAAACAGACCTGGAGTTGTGATTTGTTTTATTCACACGTTTGACACATAAATCCTGAACAGAAAACGCTCTGTTCCACGCTGTGATGTCACATAGTAATACAGGAAGTGTTCCACAATGTTTTTAAAATCCATACACCTACACTAGAATCATTTGGATCATTTCAGCCCTAGAATTGTCAATTTCTACTAAACAAAAAGGACAGGACAGGATCATAAGGTAGAACAGAGCATTCTGAGCCTTGGGGATGTACACAGACCAATAATGCTGGAGTACGCAAACAAGTGTGAATGAAACAAAACACAACTCCAGGTATGTTTTTTTTTTCTTATGAGTTAAAGCTCACAATAGTCAATTTTGCATAATATAGGAACTTTAAAGTGTATATGACAGGTTAGACTACTCATTTTCATTTTCATTTTGGTGAATTTTACTTCCTGGGTACAGGGTACAGGCTGCAGTTGTGGGACGCCCTAAAAACTCGGCAAGTCCATTGACTTAACATTCTATTGCAACCATGGCAGCCCATTTGTAAACAGTACTCCCTATTTAACTGAGATGCCAAGTCTAAACAACAGACTTTTTGACAAGACTAAGACTGAATTTAGACCTCAAATTATACCAGAAACATTCAGTTTTTCTTTTACTTTCTGTTGATGCATTAGAGGCACCATTTACCCCAAACAAAGATATGCCCATATAACCGCCATTTTGTGTTAGTAGTCAGTCTGCAAAAGTTGATTTTTGACAATATATATTTCTTGGTTAGAGTTAGGAGCAGGTTTAATTTTAGGAACAGGTAAGTTCAGTTTTGGTTTGGTCTGTTAACCAGGTCTCAACAAAATTGAGCTATAATTTTTAGACAAGAGAGTTAGTTATTTGTCAACTGTATTTAACAGATCACAAAAAATACTGGTAATGTCACTGAACCTTAATATTTGCTCCAGTTATATCTGCTGATTGTGAAATTAACTCACTCTCCTAGCAAAATACAGCACGCAGCAGTGAGGTAGCTTTAACTGACGTGGACCGCTTAGCCCCATCCCGGGATGAAATGCCGAGGATTTAGGGAGCAGATATGACAGAGGTAATTCTATAACTGTTCCCTAGCAACCATCATATTAATAGAAATAAGCTAGAACAGCTTTGTTAAATGAAGGTGTAGACTGTCTTCTCTGCATGAAAACTGGATGATGAAATTGTCACACAGCGCTACTTCCTGTAACTTTTGTATTTTTCTTCTCAACTTTTTTTTTTCAAATTGCCAAACATCTGATGTAAAACTATGATAAATATTTACAACTGGCATTGTCCCATCAAACCAAGTAATACTGAAAATTACATGAGCAAAGTTAAAGGTTTCTACAGATATGTGATTGCTCTGCCTGAAATGTTCCACAGTATGACATTCAGCAGCTCTACCTTACATTTATTCATTTACAGCTGGTTTTATAGTTCAAAAATACCTAGAAAAACGGGTCGCCACTATGCAGATCTGACTTGGAACTTGGTCTGGTTTGGCCTCCATGATGATAGAACGGTTTAATACCATACTGTGAAACATTCCAGACAAAGCAATAACATCTCTACCAACAAAAGCTTTTGATGGAACCTGCCCCAGAAAAGTTGCTCAATGCACCTTTAAGCAACCTCTAGCTTACTGGCTTTAGTTACCTTTATCTAATCCTTGAGCTGATTCTGGTTCATCAGATACATTTTGTGGGTAACCCTGGACATAGGTGGTCTTCAGGAGATGAGGGTCTATCTGCTGGTTGGTCATGTCCTTTAATCTTTTTTGGACCGCAGATGTGAGATCCATGTAGGCTTCATCAATACTGGCTCGCTCGATGACAGCAAAGCGTGACATCACCTCTATCACTTCCACACTCGCCTCTCTGTAACTACATAGAAAAAAATATGATTATACACTACCAGACAAAAGTTTAGACTCACCCTCTCATTCAATGTTTTTTCTATATTTATTACTTTTAACATTTTATAAGCATACAGAAGACATCGAATATATGAAGTAAGATGTATGGAAGTATGTAGCAAAGAGAACTTAACAACTTTTTTATATATTTAAAAAAAAAAACAAATTCTCAATTTAGCCACTTTTGCTTTATCAAAAAATATTGATGTTTAAGATTTTATTTAACCCTTTCTTCACTAAACAATTCCACATATAAATCAAGTATATGAAGCAAGATATATGAAATTATGTAGTTTGGAGTTGTAGTTGGAGTTATTTACGGTAATTTTTTTTTTTTCCTTCGCTACATAACTCCATACATCTTAGTATTAATATATTTGATGTCTTCTGTATGTATGTCACATGTAGAAAGTGGTACAAGAGGGTAAGTCCAAACTTTTGACTGGTAACGTATATTAGAACAGTCTTAGAGGTCAATATAATTCATGATAAAGTGAGACTTGCTGTGTTAAGTCTGCTTTGCCGTGAGACTCTCGGACACGCGCCACCTCCAGGTCTGGGCACAGTTTCTTAGCGTCGTCCACCCACATGTTTCTCGTGACTCCATGGGCTCTGGCCTCATAACTCACAGCAATGATTCTGAATGAAAGCAGGATTGGATTATTAGACTGAGATATTTAAAGATTATATATAAAGAATAATGATTATATTTATCGGAATTTTGTTACTGATTACTGATGCTATTGATGCTGAAACTTTACTTTACCAATTTTACCTATTACTTGGCCTGGTGAAGTTGCAACTGTTTATGTCCATAGTGTATTGCCATATTCCAGGTGAAATAATAGCATCTCCATATAGGGACAAGCAGGTGGTGGGTCCTCCACCAGAAAAGTTGCATAGTGCATCTTTAAGCTGACAGGCTTACTAATTTTAGGGATCCATTCATTTCATACAGGAGGGAAGACTAGACTTAATAGAGTTCCCACAATCAAGCATGCATGTAAAAGCGACTAAAAGTATAGAATCAGATGATAAAAAAAAAAAAATGTTAAGCAGTTGTTTTGACCTTTATTAAAAGGCCAGTATCACTCTATTTTCTGATCTATGTTAATGTTTCCTCATTAAAAACATCTCCGGAGTTGTGTTTTGTTTCCTTTACACGTGTTTAATACACTAATCCTGCATATTTACGCTTCTCTCAAATTGAAAACACTTTAGCATATTCCACCTTTACGTCATGTGGTAATACAGGAAGCGCTCCACTGTGTTTTTAAACTTATACTCCTTCACTAGAATCATTTGGTTGATTCCAACTCTGGAATTGCCCATCTCTACTGAACAAAATGTAAAAGGTAGCTGTTAACTTGAAAACTACCACTACCACAACATGAAATCAGAAGGTGGAACAGACCGTTTTGAGTTGAGAAGATGTAGACAGACTAATAATGCAAGGTTCCTCAAACGTGTGAATGAAACAAAACACAACCCCAGGTATGTTTTTGATGAGGTAACAACATTTTAACATTCTAAGAATAAATTCTGCGTAATATAGGACTTCTAAATCAAATAAGGTTTATTATTACCTCCGCCAAGGAGGTTATGTTTTTGCCGGCGTTTGTCTGTTTGTTTGTTTGTTTGTCTGTTAGCAACATAACTCAAAAAGTTATGGACCGATTTTGATGAAATTTTCAGGATTTGTTGGAAATGTGAAAAGGAACAACTGATTTCATTTTGGGGGTGATCCGGAAGAAATCCTGGATCACTTTGAAATTTTAGTTAACATTGTGGTAAATGGGGCCAAAAATTTGTTTCTCAATATCTCGGTTAATTACTGACCAAACCCCATGAAATTTGACTCAGGGATGGACAAAGGGATCCTCTTTCATATTCCAAAGGCTGATCCGGATCTGATCCAGAAGACTGATTTTATCGCAATTTATATAAAAAATGGGGGTAGTCCTTGGCGGAGGTCTGCGCTCTCTGAGTGCTTTTCTAGTGTTGAGATAGCCTTGACAGAAACGCTCACCCTCCTCCCTTCCACGTCTTGTACTGAGCTACCACGCAGGGTTTGTTGGCCAGAGCAGGGTTCAATCTCTGCTCCACCTGCACGTAAAAGCAGTCCATGTCCACCAGGGCCACCACGCGGTCCTTGCCGTACTCCATACCCGACCCCAACACCGAAACACGATTAAAAACAACCGATCACTGAAGAACCGCTACTGTTTTTCCGCGTTGCTTCATATTTCGCGCAGGATTGGAGTTACGTAAAATCGTCATCAAAATGGGACGGAGGTGACGTAATTTTGAAGTCCATTATGAAAGATGTAGTTCTTATTACATATCGGTTATAAAACATAGTAAAAAAAAAAAAAACAATAAAAAAAATAAAAAATAAAAAAATAATAATAATAATAATAATAATAATAATAATAATAATACACGAAATGATTAGTATCAGAATGGTAAGTTTTGTTTTCAGGTTCCATATTTGGGAAAACTAGTTCTTGTTCCCCATCTGAGAGTATGACATTACAGTGTGATTCTAAATTGTAGTAAGTAGGATATTTGTATTTGTATTATCAAATGGTCCAAACTCTTCTGAGCACACTTTTCTGAGCTGTTAGTGGTATGGAAGAACTGAAGAAGCCACTTGGATGAGTAGCACAATGACTTCATTCTAAAGCTTTTGTTTAGTTGACAAAATTTGAATTTCTTTTTCTCTGTTAGTTGTAGGCTATTTCTGTAGTTTAGGCAAATGTGAAATAGTCAAAGTACAACTGAGCAAAGCCAACAGCTAACCAAAAAAAAACCCAAACATATTTGCATTAAACATTACACAAAACAAATGAGGCTGGCTCTCTCATGAAATTGTGCGTGATAACTAGATCAACTACTGGACCATTAAACTTATGTACTAGTATAAGTCCAGATACAGTGCAGCTGTGTAGATAACTGTGTGTAGGGTCATTAATAGATGTAATAACTAAAATGGGGAAGCTGAGGTAAATGCAGGTGAAACTCAAAAACACAGTCATAAAGATGGTGCTCTCTCAGATCTTCGTCTTCACAGCAGCTGCTTTAGTTGGTAAGAAAAGTAAATTATTTAAAATGCTATGTAATTTTTCTCGAGGAAGGTCCACCTGCTTGGCTCCATGGACATGATATTGCTTTGCCTGACATATTCTGCAGTGTGTATGGCATTTAACTTACCTATCTTGCATTTAAAATATTCACAGATGTTTTTAATGCTTAAAGTAAGAAAAACATGCATTCTTACGGGAGATCAACTTCTGCATAGTTTGCCTAATGATGTCACTTCACTTGGTTGTCTCTTAAGATTTAATACTATACTGTAAAACATTTCAGGAGAAACAATAACATGATGTCAAGCAGGTGGCAGAAAGGTTACCAAATGCACCTTTAAATTATACTCTAAATATAAATCAAATATAATTGTTATTTTATAGGTATTTGCTGTCAGACAGTCACAGATTTATCTGTTGAAAGGGGTGGTTCCATCTCCATTCCATGCCGTTATTATTCATGGGAAATCGACAGGAATAAATACCTTTGTCTGTGCAGAAAATATTCATGGTTGCCCTGCATAAAACGTGGCTGAAACAAACCGACCAAGCACATCAACAAAATATTCAATCTTAGATGACAAGCTACAACGTGTCTTCAATGTAACTATTAGAGACCTGACTGATGAGGATGCTTGTTTTTTGTGTGGGGACACTGTCGACTACAACAAAATTATCTCTACATATCTCTCCAGGTAAGCTCTTTCAATTTTCCTCAAAAAATAAAACATTATTATTTATTTGTAACAATAATATATTTTTTAGAATCAGATTTATATGTGGACGAGCAGAGCATAACAGCAGTTCTTGGAGGAAGTGTGACTGTTGTGTGTCATTATGCAAAGAAAGATCAGTTCCATTGGTGCATGTTTGACGGCCAATGTATCTCAACGTCTGGGCAAATGACAAATGACATGGAAGTGAGCATCAAAGCTAGGGGTGCCAGTGCCAAAGTTACCATGAAGAAACTGAAGCAAGAACACAGCGGATGGTACTTCTGCCAAAATGGTGGTTTTCAGATGCCAGTAAACCTCACTGTAATGAGAGAAGTAACAACTACTGCACCCACCACAATGCCATTTGTTACAAGTAAGATACTGATAACATACTGTAAAGTGCATATAACAGGCTTTTATGTTTTTCTATTTATTACTTTGCTACGTGGAATAGTACCTGTGGTAAATATAAATTAATTTCACAGTGGCAGTTTGTGAAGAAAAGTACAAAAATAACAAAAATACAGGAATTAGTAGTCAGTGGAATAGCTCTATGTCACCAACACACAAAATGTCATCCAAAACCGAAAGTGACAATACACAGACAAAGAAGACATTTTTTCTACCAGTTTAATATTACACAAATTTGACTCTTGTGAGATTTAAGCCATGTTAACCTCATCAAAAACGTATTTGAAGTTGTGTTGTTTGCTTCATTCACACATGTTTCAGTAGCCCCTTATTAATAGTCTGTCTAAGCTCAGAATACTCTGTTTCAACTTGTGATGTCATGTAGAGGTAGTTTTCAAGTTAACAGCTACCATTTGCTTTTAGTTTAGTAGATTGGCAATATTAGGGCTGAAATCATCAAAATGATTCTAGTGAAGGTTTATGAAGTTTAAAAACACAATGGAGCACTTTCTGTTTTACTGAGAGAAGAACTCAGCCTAAATAAGCAGAGTGTGTTAAAAGGTGAATGAAACAAAACATAATTCCTGGTATATTTTTGATGAGGAAACAGCATTATAACATAGATCAGAAGATGGCATAATATGGGCCTTTTAAACCTTCATTTAACAATATAAAACAGTTGTCATCTATTTTTATTAGTCTAATCATAACTATTGGCCCTTGTTGTCATTCTGGTTGCTAAGTAACAATCCTAAAATGACCTATATAGGCCAGTGTCATATCTGCTGCCCATGTCCATGTCCAACCTGTTAAACTTCACTGAAATTTGTAGTGAAACTTTATAATGATGTTTGCTAGTCTAACCTGTCACATGCACTAAATATTTTTGCACATAAATTATAATTTTAACATTTTAACACTGGATTAGGTGTGACACAATTAAGTACAAGTGAACCATCTACAGTGATTTGCACAAATACAACAACTGGAGGTCAACCTGTAAATTCTAGCAGCATCATGACAACAGAAGTCAACCTTCACCCAATCCATACCAAAAGGTCAGTAGTAATGATTATTTTATAGCAATCATATTTTTACAGGAAAATAACTGTTCATTGTATCTCCGTCTATAGCCAGTCTACAGTGATTGTGATCGCCTGTGTAGCAGTATTCGTTCTGTTGCTTTTTGTCATTGCTGTTTTTGCTGCTTTGAAAATGGCAGTATGCCGTAAGTATATTGTTATATGAATGTGCTTTATTCAAGGATCCTGATATTTCACTGTTTATTATAGGCAAGAGAATTCCCACAGAGTCTCGCACTGCAGAGGTATGCTGTTTTTCTCTATCAACTTTTTTGGCCTTACAAAATGTATTATGCTTAAAGGTGCTTTTCGGTTGAAGGAGTGCTACCAAGATACTATTGCTTTGCCTGTAATTTTTCCACAAGATGGTATTGAACTTATATAAGATGCATTTATTCAATTATGGGTGTTTTTATTGCTCAAAAATACCTTTAAAACCATGCATGGGGGGGGGGGGGTCTTACATGTAAATTGGCCAGTTGGCGTCGCCTGCTTGTTTCTATGGAGATTAACAAGTTTAATGCCATACTTTATACTGGAATACTGAAGGTAAAGCAATAACATGTCTGTGGCTATGTAACTGGCGGGCCTCTACCAAAAAAGATACAACAATAAAACATGCCATACAAACAGACATTCTGACTGTGGTTGCCTTTCCACAGATCTGATTTGTAACTTTCAAGACAAAGCAATAACATTTCCATGACAGAGACAAGCATTTGATGAACCCTCCACTAGAAAAGTTACACAATGCCACACATCACATTTATTGTGTGTTAAAAGTGTATTGTGTTTCAGGTAGAGGGTCCACCACCTGGTTGTCTCTATGGAAATGATATTACTTTGTTTGAAATGCTTCACAGTGTGGCATTAAACTTATTCATCTTTCCTTCTTTCAATTGTGGGTGTTTTTATTACTCAAAGAACATGCACACCTACAGTCAGCCGGCCATCCTCCTCACATATCTGTCCGGTTGCATCTTCTGCTTGTTTCCATGGAGATAGTTAAGTTTAATACCATACTGTGAAACATTAAAAGCAAAGCAGTTACATCATCACAGAGACAACAAATGCTGGCAGATCCTTAACCAGAAAAGTTACACAGTGTACCTTTAAGTTTCCATGTCTTGCTTTTTTTATTTATAGGGTCCACACACTGTATCAAACCAAAGTGTGATCTACAGTAACATCTTTCTCAATCAGGAGCCTTCAGACAATAAAAAGGTATCTAAAATGGAGAAGTATTGTACCTTTTGAATGTTTTAATGTAGCTGCATACTTCAACCACCAGGGGACGCAGTGACACTCCTGCCTCTTTATCCGGTATTGACTGCAATTAATTCCATTAGGTTGAACTGCGTGTAATAAGTGTGATATTCCCCACCATTGTAACACAGGACAAAGTGGGGCAGTAGTGGCTTTAATGCAAAATGTCATTGTGTCCTTTGGCAAAACACTTCACCTACGTTGCTTAGAATGAAAGTTGTGTAGTGTAGTAGATTGCCATCGAGTGTGGAGTGAATGAATGATGCACAAAATTGACGCAATAATGTCTGTGATGCAGAGTCATTATACACTAAGAAAAGAAAATCTTATGTATCTTTGCCCCTTATTTTAATCTCTAAAGTGAAGCAGAAGTTCCATCCTCCTCTATAAATATTTATAATAGCCACTGCTGCTGACATGCATTTCATAAGTTTCCAAGTCTTGCTTTTTTTAATCTAAAGGGCCCACATACTGTAACGGACGAAGATGTGATCTACAGCACGGTCTCAGACTATAATAAGGTATCTAAAATGGAGATGTATTGTATCTTATGGATGGCATATGAGGGCATTGTCCCTGTGCTCTACATTGTAGTTGCATACTTCAGCCACCAGGGGACGCAGTGCCTTTTTATCTGCCAATCACATAGTATTTGTACTTCATGCATTTCATCAGAATAAGTTTCCATGTCTTGTTTTTTTTCTTTTTCTCTCGATCTAAAGAGCTCACAGACTGTAACGGACCAAGATGTGATCTACAGTAACATCTTTGTCACTCAGAAGACTTCAGACAATAATAAGGTACTGTATCTAAAATGGAGATGTATTGTATCTTATGGATGGCATATGAGGGCATTGTCCCTGTGCTCTACATTGTAGTTGCATACTTCAGCCACCAGGGGACGCAGTGCCTTTTTATCTGCTAATCACATAGTATTTGTACTTCATGCATTTCATCAGAATAAGTTTCCATGTCTTGTTTTTTTTCTTTTTCTCTCGATCTAAAGAGCTCACAGACTGTAACGGACCAAGATGTGATCTACAGTAACATCTTTGTCACTCAGAAGACTTCAGACAATAATAAGGTACTGTATCTAAAATGGAGATGTGTTGTATCTTATGGATGGCATATGAGGGCATTGTCCCTGTGCTCTACATTGTAGTTGCATACTTCAGCCACCAGGGGACGCAGTGCCTTTTTATCTGCTAATCACATAGTATTTGTACTTCATGCATTTCATCAGAATAAGTTTTCATGTCTTGTTTTTTTCTTTTTCTCTCGATTTAAAGAGCTCACAGACTGTAACGGACCAAGATGTGATCTACAGTAACATCTTTGTCACTCAGAAGACTTCAGACAATAATAAGGTACTGTATCTAAAATGGAGATGTGTTGTAGTTTATGGATGTACTGGATCAGTGACATTGGGCCTCACTCATGTAGCGTTCTGAAAAACACATTTGTTTTTCTTACGAATGCCAGAAATGACTGAAAATGGTTTTCTAGAAGAACAAACCCTACGGAGCACTCATGAGAACAAAAAGAAAAACATTCAGCTCTTTTAGACTATTGTTACTCTGATAATGCAACCAAAAACTGTGGGGGAGGGGAGAGATGAGGCCCAAGTACCAACCCTCCACCAGGAGCCCACGGGACAGATCTGGCAGCTGCAGCCGACCTCCACTCCTGATGCTCCTACAGAGGAAACACTGAAAATCCTAAAAAAAAAAAAAAAAAAAAAAATGCAGAAAATAAATATAATAAAATGTGTACAATAAAAACAAGTACATGTGTAAGATTTCAATCAAAAGCTAAGCTAAAAAGGTCTTGAGCCTATTCATTAAAACATGAAGATTCTCTGTAGCCCTGAGGTCCTCCGGTAGTCAGTTCCATAGACGAGGGAAGTAGTACTGGAAAGACGCCTCTCCATCAGTGTGTGTCCTGACTTTGGGAATAACCAGGAGCATGCGGCCGGAGGAGCACAGGGTTCGCAAGAGTTTGTAGGGTAAAAGCAGTTCTGAAAGATAAGAAGACCCAAGACCATTAAGACATTTAAAAACCAGTAAAAGAACTTTAAAATCAATTCTGAAACTCACAGGGAGACAATACAGTGATTTTAAAACCGGTGTAATGTGGTCCCGCCCTCTGGTCCTAGTCAGGACACGTGCTGCTGAATTTTGTAATAATTGCAAACCTGAAATACTCTTTTGGGGAAGACCAGAGAGCAGGGTATTACAGTAGCCCAGAGGAAAAATTTGTAAAACTTGTGAGTCTTGTTTGTTTTTCCTAAAATTCACTATTAACAACAGGGGAGACACAAACAAGAGTCCTATTGAGACACTGGTGAGAAACCGTTTTAACATCTGCAATGGAAACAAAACCTAGTCTTACTTGAGACCCTGGTGAGAAACTGTTTTAGCATCTGCAATGAAACAAAAACTAGTCCTACTCAAGACACTGGGTAGAAACCTTTTTAATGGCTCAAATTTTAAATCAAATAGTCCTAAAAAATATACAACTGAAAAAGAATAAAACATTTGTGAATTTCAAAAAGGTTTTTATTATTAATATTAACATTATACATTACATTTCACCAATCCGAGCACCTTTGTATTAGCCTGATTCATCAGCCGGTTTTACTTCATAGAAACCGTCTGACCTCGCAGCATTAGGATTCGTTCGCTCGACAGTAGGCGGGTACTTTTTTTGATGTATGTAATGCACCGCTAATGGGGCTAACTGGTATATTAAGCTTTTCCTAAATCCCGTAGAAGGAAGGGCAATAACAATAATAATAAATGAGGAGAAAACGTTGTCAAGCATCTCAGCATTAACCAGGACAAAACTGTCCAGTGTTTCCTCTGGTCCAGACAAACATTCAGATGTATTAAAAACAGAGCTTTGACAAAATAAAATATCACATCTGATAGTGTTTATCTTTCCCATGAAGTGGTCTGCAAACTACTCACTCAGTAGGTGTCAAATAAAACGTGCTGAAATCAGGGGTTAAAATGTTGTCAGTGGTTGAGAAGAGAACTTTTGGATTATTTTTGTGGTTGGTGTATATTGTGGAGAAGTAATGGTTTCTGGAGTTTCTTATTGCATTGCTGTATGTCCGTTGTTGATTACTGAATAATTGATGGTTTATTGTAATTGTTTTTTTTTTTCTCCATCTCTGTTTTGCCCTCCTGCACTCTCTACTGGATTTTTTCAACTCTTCATTTCTCCATGGAGGTTTTAGTTTGGTTTTGATGTTTTAAGTTTTGAGTGGAGCAACCAGATCTAGAGCTGACTCTATTCTACTCACAGCTGGATGTAAAGGTGAGACAGTACGTAGCTCACTTGTAGCCACGCAGCCGGTTTGTGGCCTACTGGTGCAATTTCGTTGGTTGGCTTAATTTCAGGTAATTTCAGATTCAGGTAGTAACCCAAGTCAATAACTGCTTTGATTATTTTCCCCTAAATGATGTCTTAGTTACTGGTTAAAACTATTTGTTGAAGTTCATTTGTTTGGGAGTCGATTAAGCTAGTGAAACAGACACTGACGCATGCGCAATAGTAGCTTACCGCACACTGAGTATGGTAAGTTATAATATTTTTGAAGAAAAAATTCATGACTGAGCCCCAATGTCCCTGTGTTCCGCAATGTAGTTGCATACTTCAGTCACCAGGGAACGCAGTGCCACCCATGCCTCTGTATCTTGTAATGATGACAGTTTCTTCCAATAGGATGGACTGAGTGAGGCGAGTGTGATATACGCCACTGTTGTAAAGCACAACAAATCTCAACAAATGGTAAGCTATGGCAACTTAAAATGCTAACTGTTGAATGAGGATATTTCTGACTGTAATTTATTTTTAGGCAAGACAAGCAGAAGAAAGTGTGATCTACAGCACAGTCTCCAAATAGTAAAGTTCTGGTTTCCTTAATGGGAGGGGAAGTGACTGCAAAAGAGGCTGAAACTCTGTCATTTAAAAGAGCAATGTTTAACTTTTCTGGACAGTTTACACGTGCTAGTCTTAGTGCAGATGTTACTTCTTTGTCTAGAATGTTCCACAGTAGAGCATTAAACATTTATTCAATCACAAGTGTTTTAATGTTCAAGGTTTCCTTGAAAAAACATGCATTTTCTCTACAGATGTGACTTGTGAATATGCTTGTGTAATCACTTGCTTTTCTCCATAGAGATAGACATTTCATTTAAAGGCCCTATATTACACTAAATTGACTTGGCTTGCCATGTTGTTACCTCCTCAAAAACATGGAGTTGTGTTTTGCTTCATTCACACATGTTTGAACAGCTCTTTATTATTAGTTTTTCTACATTTCCAAAGCTCAAAATGCTCTGTTTCACCTTGTGATGTCATGAAATTGTAGTTTTCAAGTTAACAGGTACCTTTATTTTGTTCAGTAGAGATAGATAATTCCAGGGATGGAATCATCCAAATTATTCTAATGAAGGTGTATTAAGTTTAAAAACACACTGGAGTATTTCCTTTATTACCACATGACACCAGAAGGTGGAGCAGAATATTTTCTGTATGAGAGAAGGAAAACACAGCATTTCACAACACCACAAAGAGAACAATTTTTGGTCAGTGTCTGAGTTGTTAATCTGTTATGACATAAAAAGAAAAAGGAAGTTGAAAAACAATCGTATCTGGTCTGAAAGCCACCTTGTTAAGTTATATATAGACCACTGAGCAGTGAAGTTATATTGTTGTTTTAAGTTTGTCTGAGTTTAATGCTCATCTTTCATTTATTTAATTTTGTTCTGGACCTGTTATGTTTGTTTTTTATTTGTTATGCTAAAAACGTTTGGTAATAATAATAATAATAAAAAAAAAAAAAAAAAAACAAAAAAACGAAGAAAACGGAAGTACTGAACCTGCTCTTAAACTGGTGCACTTTCTCTGGGACTTCACTTTTTCACAATGGCTACTTTTGTAACATTCTTTTTTATCTGTGCTGGACTCTCTGGTGAGTAACAAATAAAATATCTGTCTATCTATCTAGCTATCTGTCTAGCTGTCAGTCTATCTGTTTATACGTCTTACAAAAAAGAGCCAGTTTCCACAAAGGAAATTTGGACACAGTAACTCACACATCACAATATATTATAATAACAAAGAGGAAAAAATATAAATGGTAATAATAAATTCTAAATAAGTAGCAAAAAAGATAGCAAGAGAGAGGTGTTACATAAGGCATAATTATATAAATGTAGACATACAAGTCAAAATAAAATACACAGCTTTGTACAAGAGGTCATAAGAAAACAGTGTAATAATGATATGATGATTGACAGGACATATGGTTATCCGTTACATAAGGGTGAGTTGTACAGTTGTAAGGAGTATGGTCAAAACAGATAGGTAACAGTTTATGGAGGAAATATGGATTGGACAGTGATGAGATTAAAGATTATGGTATAACGATGGTATAATGGTATAAGACTATGAACAAAAAGAAAACATACACACAGTATATATACAAAAGTTAACTGAGAATTATATTTTTAAAAAAAGGAGATTAAGATATATGTTGTTTAATAAGCATTCTGTTAACATAAGAAATAAGAATATGTAATGTGTGTGCAAATAGTTTTATGTAAAATGTGACGACAATCAACAAATTAAGGAGTGGAACATTTCAACTTCTATTTATCTGTGTACAGTGTTGGGAAGGAACTGAAAACATGTACTGAGAATATGAAATAGTCAGTATTCTCAGTATTCTGGTACAGTTACTCTATCATTTGGTGGTATTTAAAATACAGTTGCTTTTCTATAAAATCAAACAAATACATGGCAGTACCAATAAATAAATAACAGAATTTTTCCTTTTCTAATTAGTGACATGAAATGCAGAACACAGTGCAGTTTTTAATCCGATGCTGCATCTTTACACTATAATTTAAATGCATCCAGTCGAACTGAGAAGGCCAGAACTGATGGTTAAATGACTTTTAATCTTTCCTTGCCGTGTTATAGAACCAACGTAAGAGCTAGACAAGAACAAAATAACAGCAATTACCATACGTTTACAGCATCACTAGCTCATTACATTGCTTAACCGTTATCCATATTTAACATTAATTTGATACAAGTGACAAGAAGTTCAAATATACATTAACAAGTCAAACAAACCTTGTTCCCCTGTCGACTGTAGCAATCTTTTCTTTGTTTTATATAACTTTTCTCCGTTGTTTTGATTTTCACAATTAACGTTGCCATGTTTACTATGCGTCGTATCTTTATAACAAGCTAACGTTTTTTCCTTCACTTTCGTTCACACCGGAAGTCATCAAAATAAAAGCGCAACCTTACAATTAAATGCCATAAACTGCGTGTTAATGTATATAAGAGCTAACTTGACCTTTACAGCAACGCTGCGTGAAAGTATCCCAATATTTGTCCATGTATCATAATACAATACAAATGACATTATTCAGTATTCTGCAACTACATACATCTTCAAAATATTCTTCCTATCATTGTCTATCTATCTATTTGATTAATCTATCTAATCTATGTAATCTATATAAAATGACAATGGTATGTTCTTTCATTTCAGGCATCAACAGTTTAGAGACAGTTGGTCATATAATGATAGAAGCTGAAGGCACTGTCCACATCCCATGTCATTATGAGGCAGCGTACACAGATCACGTGAAATATTTGTGCAGGGATGCTTCTTGGAACAACTGCAAAACTAAAATCCGTTCAAAGGACAAAAATTCAACAAAGTATTCTATTTATGATGACAAAGTTCAAAGAATTGTTACCTTTACTGTTAAGAATCTAGAACTGAATGATTCTGATGTTTATTGGTGTATAATTGAAAAAGCAGGAACAGACGATGGTAAGACCTTTCGACTGTCAGTCACCAGAAAAGGTAAGATGCTTTTATAGTCATGGGGAAAACATTTTACTCTTGTTTTGTGATTTAGTACAGTGTGTATTAGGCACAATTATATCACAGTAATTATTATAGTTGATGACAGTTTAAAATGTTATTGATATGAATAATTATAATTTTATTGTTATGAATAAGTTCCATGTTTCAGGTTTAATGTAATTGTTTTTTGTTATAAGTGAAAATAACCATGATCTAGCGGAGATTATGATGAATAAGTAGGTTTTTTACACATTTTGGCGCTATAATAGCCTTTATCTTTGTTGGCAATTATCACGATTATATAAAATGTCCCATGAACGATTATTGTCTACCCTTTTTATCACAATAAATGATATTACTATTTATTGTCCCATCCCAAATGTATATATTGCATAGCCATTTCAAAAGACTTATTGATCCTTTTTTAATGCATGACCATTTTTTTCTTTCTTTTGTTTCATTTGTTTTTGTAGCTGAATCAAACTTGTCTGTGGATTCTCAGTGGGTTTTAGGATACTTCGATGACCAAATAACTATTCAATGCAAGTGCAATGGTTCTGATCAAAAAACGTGGTGCAGATTTGGTGGTCGTTGCATACATACATCTGGAATATTAAATAAGGCACAGATAAGCATAGACACTCGTGACGCTGGGGTGTTTGCCGTTACCATGACTGGACTGAAGGCTGATGACATTGGCTGGTATTGGTGTGGCTTCGGAGACCTGCAGATGCCTGTGTTTTTAGATCTAACTATAAGGCCAACCACTAGTAAGTACAGCCAAAAATTATAGTGCACTTTTTGCTATGCATGTAAAGTGTATGTTTTCCATTATTAATCAGCTACAATTGCCACTACTACAATAATGTCAACAGTTACATCTATTCCTGAACCTGGAAGCATAAGGTCAGTCAATGCCAAGTTTACAAAAGTTTGGACACATCTTTTCATTTATGTTTCGTCTTTATTTTCATGAAATTTTACATTGTGGATTCTGTGAAGGCACCAAAACTATAAATAAACCAACACCAATAAACACATGTGGAATAGAAAGCTAGCTAGATAGATAGTATACTTTTAAAAATCAAGGAATACATGATGGTGCTTGATCACACAATTTAGGCTTCTAACTGCACATAAATAGTGAAAAAATTTTGAAAACATTGATCATATACCGTGTGCATGTGTAGTTTTTCCTTCTCGAATTACTGATAGGAAATGCTGAACACAATGAACCAAATAAAAAGCTGTTTTTAATATTTCATCTTATATATACACTACAATGTGCATAACTCTGCTTTACAATATTTAGATTCAGAATACATTACACTGATTGGACCATGTATCAGAATATACAAAATAAACTGTAACTAAATACATTATTAAGGTATTCTTCCCATTACATAGTAGTGAACATAAAGAAAAACAACACTGAATGAGAAGGTGTGTCCAAACTCTTGACCTATAGTGTATATTTTAAATTTATATTTATAAGAGGGTGATTTTATTTATTTTTTCTTCATAGTATGTCTGATACCCTTATAGCAGCTGCCATTGCACTGGGTTTGCTGATTCTTATTATAATAGTATCACTGGTTGCCTGGTGCACACTGAAGAGAAAAAGTAAGTTTGTACTTAAAAGAGCTCATATTTTGTTCACTGTTGATTAAATTACAAAACCATTTTCTTACTTATAGTGAAAGAGACTAAGGGCAAATCGTCATCATCTCCAGAGGTAATCGACCATAGGAAATTTAAATTTTAAAGAAAAATCAGATCGCATTTTCAAAGTTTAGCTTTTATTGTATATTTTCCTGTGTTGTGTGTTTGATGGTATGTACTTGCTAGTAATATGGTATTATAGTGTTGGCTACTTTCTCTGCAGTGTGTAGATAACCCTGTATATAGTAATGTCACAACAAAGCAAGCATCACACCAGGTTAGTAATAACAAATTATATAACTACCAGTTGTGGAATGTAGCAAAGTAAAAGTAGTGATGTACTGTACAAAAAAAAAAACCCAAAAAACTTAAAAAAAAAAAAAAAAAAAAGATATCTGTACTTTACTTATGTACATGTTAAAGTGTATACTTTTTACTTTCTACTCCACTACATATTTGAACAGAACTGAAAAGTGAAATATTTTTTATTATTGTCTGAAACCTGCTGAAAAGTCTGAGGGTTTTATTTTTAACATAGTCGTAGCAAACACAAATAAAACAACAAACAAACAAAACAGCTAGAATAAAAAAAACTGTTTCAGTTTTTTTCTGCTGAACAAAATTCAGCATAAATCTTAGTCAATATCACTACATTTGAAGATAGATCTCAAAATCTGAATGAAATACTTTTACTTTTAACTCTTTGAGTACAGTTTTAAACTGATACTTCAGTACTTTTACTTATGTCTATTTTACTTATACTTTTATTTAAATTTTTTTTTCTGCTCTGGTACTTTTACTTAAGTGACAAAATTTTGTAATTCTTCCAACACTGATTACTACTTACAAATATAAAAGCTTAAGTTACTGGGCTTGTTCATTTTTACAGAATACAGATGCTGCCAAAGATGATGAAGTATTGTATAACAGTGTGACTTTCATGAAACGGCAATGTTCAAAAGAGGTACATTTTTGTCACTCAGTTTCCAAAAAATTTGTCAAATGACAACATAATTGCTCAACTTGTTCTTCTGTTCCCCAGGTTGCAGTTACAGAAGAGGATGTCTTGTACAGCACATTGGCTCAACGATAATGACTGTAACCTGCTGATTCTGATCTGTAGCACAAACAGTGACAAACTATCAGCATATTTATCAATAGACTAGTCATGTCTTGTCTGGTACTTTTATGTGGCCCAATGATCCTGAAAGGAAAGCTGCTAACATTTGTAAGCTCTATAGTGTTTAAGGCTATTTAAGGTTTGCAAATATTACATTATAATTTATATATATTAAATGTAGGCTATTGGTTTGGTTTTGCATGTGGGGTATGTTAATACCATAAACTGTAAAAAAAAAAAACAATATATACGGTTTATGGTTAATATAGGTGTTGCTTTATTTTATAAATATGGTATTAGTGATTCATTGTGTGTATATTTGCCCTGTTGCTCACTCAGACTCTTGTGCAAGCAATTCCAGTGTTGTGTATAATAAATTGATATACTCTGGCACTGTGTCCTGCAATGAGAACTGGGGCCTCTAGAGCATCTGTGTGTTGGTTTTGTCTTGCATCAGCAATGCCACTCCTGATGGGGTTGGGTTTCAGCCACAGATTGTATATTTATAAATATGTATATAAATATAAATATACATAAATATACATATATTCTTTATACAGTCTATGCTTTCAACAGGAAAGGCCTGTCTTTTCAGCCTGTGCAGATATTTTACTAGGCTGTATTATAATCAGTGTTGGGGAGTAACGGATTACATGTACCGCCGTTACGTAATCAGAGTACAAATTATGAGTAACTGTATTCCGTTACAGTTACTGTTTCAATAAGTGGTAATTGGATTACAGTTACTTTGCTGAAATAAGTGGATTACAAGGCGGTATTTTCCTGTTTTCACATTTTGTGCTACATCCCATTTATTTATTTTTTTATTTCGGTAATTCCACTCATTGCCGGAAACCCAAACAGAACGCGCGCAATAAATAGCGATGTAAACGTCATGTTAAAGTTGGCGGTGTCAGTCACACAGTGGAAGCAGCAGTGCATTGGTAAAAACGCATTTGTGTCTTGGAAATTCTTCTCCCGATGTGAGATATATATATAAAAAAAACTAATATAAAATCGCCTACAACTTAAATGTGAAACAGGAGCTACTGGCGCTGGTGAAAACAACCTGCATAGACTCATAATATCTGCTCTACTGTCATATAATGACCTGCCACATGAGTGGACGTGCACACAAACACACACAAACACACAAAAACACACACCTTCATCATCGTCATCAACCTGACAACCCGCGGACCACGTCTCCTTCCGTAGTTACAGCGCGGACACCGCCGTCTCGTGCGCCGCGTGTGGACTGTGTTTTCTCGCGTAAACCGCGCTTCCTCCTGTGCGCCTCTAAACCAGAACTAACACCAGGACTAAACCAGGACTAATCCAGGACTAAACCAGGACTAATCCAGGACTAAACCAGGACTAAACCAGGACTAAAGCAGGACTGAACCAGGTTTAAACTAGGACTAAACCACGACTAAACCAGAACTAAAGACCTGGTCTAGACCTGGTCTAAACCAGGTCTAAAATCAAGAGTAAACCAGGTCTAAAAATCAGGACTAAACCAGGTCTAAAATCAGGACTAAACCAGAACTAAACAACATGACACCTAACAGTAGGTTGACATAATTTAAGGTGATCTCATATAAAAAATAATTTCTCTATCAATAATATTTTTTAATCTGGTGAAGGAAAGTCTGATCTTGTTACTGTCTTTTAACAGACAAAACCTCTTATATTAAGATCTCATGGTCTTTGTTTCTCTACAGCAAACAGTTGCTTATTCATGGAGACTTGGGCTCAGACATTTGAAGACAACAAACAAGAATTTTCAGGATGTGGTTGCTACATTCATGTCGTTTAAAAAAAACATGACAATATCAAGTAATCCAAAGTAATCAGATTACGTTACTCACTTTAAGTGATTTAATGGATTACGTTACAAACTACATTTTGGGGTATGTAATCTGTAATCTGTAGGGGATTACATTTTAAAAGTAACCTTCCCAACACTGATTATAATTAAGCCTACCTTAAGTGTTCTACTGACCTGGACCAACCAAATACGAGAGTCAAATAGAACATGATGACGGGGAAAGTGGTCTTGGCTTTATCCTATGCCTTGACCAAATGGAACGAATGCTCCATGAAATATTATGATCGTATGTCTTTAAAGCTTTGTGCTCAGGCTTCCCCGTGGCCAGCCTGTGGGCCAGCCGGGGCCCTTCACTGGATGTGATAGCAGTGAGAGCGTTGCAGCGCAGTCTCCTTCAGCTCGCCCTCCAACCGGTGACGCCTACCTCTACCGTGCGGTGTGAGGAAGATCTGTAATAAAGTCACTTTCGTACGCACTTACCTCCATTTTCAACTGGTAAGAAGCTCCAGTTTAAACCTTATGTCTGTGAGTGTACTTTATAAACCAGGCCACCCGTCCGTGTGCGCTACCGGCGCCGGTACCATGCACTTTAGCATGTTAGCTTAGCCAGCTCAACTTAGCATGCACTCTGTCACATGTGCAAATATCGAATAACTGGACACATGAGCGTCTACAATTGTCTTAAAGCAGTAGTTAATTAGATTGTCTTTTCTTGGCCTTTTTGACCGTGTGGCTGTGCGCTGTCTAACCCGTAGTTGACATTGGTATGTTTCTTGTAGCTGTTCAATTGGATTGGTAATGAACACATTTGAGTAATGAAGACAGACGTGTGTCCTGCCACGCCTGGTTTTACCAGGCACCTCATGTGGAGAAACGGGTTAATAACTGCCAGGGCACTGCTTACGGAGCTGCGCCAACATGGCTCCTCTGTCACTGTCCTTTCTCCTGACAGAAGAGCCGGACACCCGGAAACACTTCACTGGAGAATATTGCAATAGCACGAGTGTCAATGTGCTTTGGATTTAACTGTGGTGTATTTAAGTTTAAGAGGCCTCTCTTTCCAGACTATTTTGACTTGACTGTGCTTATTTGCTGTAGTTGCTCTGTACAGTGTAAAACCTTATTGTAACGCTTGTTATGGCTGTTTCAGACACAATGGCAGTGCCTCCTGCATATGCTGACCTGGGCAAGGCTGCCAAGGACATCTTCAACAAAGGCTATGGTACACTGCACACTGATGTGTTCATATATGGCATGATCTTTGAACCTCGTGTAAAGACTCTGTTGTCTTCTAGGCTTTGGCTTGGTGAAACTTGATGTCAAGACCAAGTCAGCAAGTGGAGTGGTAAAGTGATTTTGTTTTTATTGTTCAATTGTCTTAATATTGTTTATAATGGTATTTAAATATTTCAATGATTCTGTCGTTGACTTCTTACCTTGGCTTATATTTGTCTCATTAAACTCATTCTCACATAGCTATGGTGGACAGCTTAACCTCTCCATGTTCTGCTTTGTCTAATATATTTTACTATGTCATGGCAAAAACATTTAAGATTGTCTGTCCCTCTTCAAAACTCTCTTATAGGAATTCAAAACATCTGGTTCCTCTAACACTGATACCAGCAAAGTGGCTGGCACCCTGGAAACAAAATACAAGAGGGCAGAATATGGTTTGACCTTCACTGAGAAATGGAACACTGACAACACTTTAGGGACAGAAATCACGATTGAAGATCAGGTAAGTGCCCCAATTCAGTTTTAAATATGGTTGTATGCCAACATAATGTAGTTCAAATTTACAGTATACATTTTTGCTTTTTGTGACAGATTGCTAAGGGACTGAAGTTGACTTTTGACACTACCTTTTCACCAAACACCGGGTAAGTGTCTGTGTTAAATCGTGACTATGGGATCTGTATTTTCAGCCTGCATACTGAACTACCCATCTTGTGCTCTTCTGTCTGAGTAATACTTGTAACATGATCTCTGTTGCACATGCTCCTGGCCATGTGATGCAGTCCCAATATGGAACTAGTCTCCTTGTCTTGACTTTGGCTCATATAATTCCAATTTCATAAGAGTAAATGGTTGCTTTTTATTTAAGTACATTTTCTCTGCTATTTCTTCACCATACACTGTGAAGAAGTGGACTAAGGGAGAGTGACATCACCCATAGCGTTTGTCTGCAGTCAAATGAAGCTGATGATGCGAGCGGTTATAGGAGTGAATTTGGAACCAGTTCCATATTAGGAATAGGAATTTACTTACAAACAAAATGGCAAATTAAAAATATCAAGATCATGTGGTGGGTTAATATGAACATTTAAATACCAAAATGACGAGGCTCACAGCAGAAGTTGTCCAGAGAGAGGTGACAATTTTTCAATGTAAAGTCAATAGGAGCCAAAGTCGATGGAACCAGAAGCGCCCCCATGTTCATTTCCTATTTTGCAACGAGGTTAGCTAAATCCATTTATTTACAGTCTATGTTCTTCACAGCAAAAAGAGTGGCAAAGTGAAGACCGCATACAAGCGCGAGTATGTGAACCTGGGCTGTGACGTAGACTTTGACTTCGCCGGTCCCACCATCCACGGCGCCGCTGTCGTCGGTTATGAGGGCTGGTTAGCTGGTTACCAGATGACCTTCGATACCGCTAAGTCCAGAATGAGCCAGAACAACTTCGCCATTGGTTACAAGACAGGGGACTTCCAGCTGCACACCAATGTGTAAGTTCACCATTGGTTTATATTGTCATGCATGTATTTGTATTTGTGTTTTTTTTTGTTTTTTTGTTTTTTTGCATTGTTTTGTGGTGCGGGGTCTGTCAAATGCTTTTCTTCATGGAGATGTTATTACTTTGTCTGTTTGTCTGGAATGTTTCACAGTATGACATTTATGGCATCTTTCAATTATCATGGAGACTAAACCAGACCAAGTTACATGTTAGATCTGCAACTCCTCTCACAGTCAGAATGCCTGTTTTTCTAGCAGTTTTTGAGCTATAAAACTACCTGTAAATTAATAAATGTAAGGCAAAGCTGTTTAATGTCATACTGTGGAACATTCCAGACAGTGCAATGGCATGTCCATAGAAACGGCAGGTGACGGACCCCCAACCAAAACATTACATGGTGCACCTTTTTAAGTGAAATTTGTGAAACCATATTATTTTCCTGTGTATACAGCAATGATGGAGCAGAGTTTGGTGGCTCAATCTACCAGAAGGTTAACGATACTCTGGAGACAGCAGTTAGCCTGTCATGGACCGCTGGAAGCAACAGCACACGCTTTGGTATTGCAGCTAAATACCAGTTGGACAAGGATGCCTCTATCAATGTAAGAAAAGAGAGACACTGTTTTTGATTTGATGTGTGAAAGTACAAGAATTTAACAATTTTATTTTGTTTCATTTCAGGCTAAAGTGAACAACAATAGCCTGGTTGGTGTTGGCTACACTCAGTCTCTTAGACCAGGTATGTAACAATAACACTGATTTATTAATACTACCTTCTAAGTTTTTTTGCACATGATCTGTAAGTACTTTTTGTGGTTTGATAGACCTCAAAAAGTGCACTGCCAATACCAAAACGTGCTTTAAAGATTATATTAAACTGTTTTCTGATCTGTTATAATGTTTCCTCATCACAAACCTACCCACATTTGTTGTTTCATTCACACATGTTAAAGACAAACACCCTGCATATTTAGGCTTGGTTCTTCTCTTAAACTGAAAACACTCTGTTCCACCTTTTTTGATGTCATGTGGTATTACAGGAAATATTCCACTTTGTTCTGTAGAGATTATTCAAATGATTTATAAAACATACAGTAGAAGGTAGCTGTTAATTAAAATTTTGCTTCATGACATCACAAGGTGGAACAGAGCATTTTGAGCTTTGGAGATGTAGACATACTAATGGTGCAGGATTACTCTAAACATGTGTGAATGAAACAAAACAACTCCAAGTATAGTTTTGAGGAAACAATATTATAACATGACTAAAAGCTCACAAGAGTCAGTTTTGCGTAATATAGGACCAAATTGGACTCAAATACTATATAGAGAGCCTGATTGCATTTCCATTTGAGATTAAGTGGCATCAGTGGTAATATTTGTGGCTCACACTGCACCCAATATCTAGTTTAAAGAGTGAGAAATGTACATTATTTTCAGCTGAGATCAGTAGTCCAAACTCTTCTCTTGCTGTTCCTACAAAGCAATTTAACAGCAAGGTTTACTGTGAAAAACGGGAATGTGTAAACTTGCCGTTCTCAACATGGTTTTGTGTTTATAGGTGTGAAGCTCACCCTGTCAGCCCTCGTGGATGGAAAGAACATCAACGCTGGAGGACACAAACTGGGGCTGGGCCTGGAGCTGGAGGCCTAAACTGTCACATGCTGAAAGGGACTAAGGAATATCAGAATCTGGCCTTAAGTATGTCCAACTTCAACCAGCAAGAGATTGAGCAGGAGGAGGGTTCAAGGCTATAGCTCCAATCATCTGTACGATTTACACTTATTTTGGTCTCTGTACCCCTGTTTTTACCTTTTTAGATCAACTGTTGATATTATTTATGAATCACGCCACTGTGTGTGTCCAGCACTGCCATAAACTCAATACATAAGTTTCCCTGTCATCAGTGCTGTTGTCTCGTTTATTGGTATTTTCAACCACTCCATTTTATTTCTTACAGTCTGTTGTCTGCAACCGTGACATCTGATATTCCTGTGTCTTGTCCACAGCATTACTCCAGTATGTTATTACTTTGCCCTTGTCTTTGTGTACACTAAAGCTCTGTAGTGTTCTGTTTGAATCAGCCACAGGGGCACGCTCTGCTCCACTCTGGCCTCTTTCCTCAAACTAGATAGTTTCGAGGTTTGGCTTTAAGCTTACTCAGAAGGTCAGGGCGAAATCTTGGCTGGCCAAGCAGAACTATTCTTTCACCCAGTGGGAATAAGTCATTGTACACAACAATGCCAAATGTTTGTAAAGGGAGACAAAGGCTGCTTCTAAGTTTCTGTACTGGGTGCAGTCACACCCACATCAATGTCTTGGAGGTCCTTATGTATAAGGTTTCAATAAAGTCTTGAAAATAAATAATTGAGTAATGGTATTATTATCAAGTATTCATGCGATGGATTCAAAGATTAGTTCTATCTTACCTGGTGTGTGCCATAATAACTACAGCTAGCATATGTACCAAAATTATTTTTCATTCTATTGAATGTGGACTATTTGCATCCAGTGTAATGTAACACATCCAACATTTGCACCTGAATAAATGATTTTACATAATTTTTACTTATTTTTACTCGAATCTTATAAGGCAGAATCATTAGGGAGTGTATTGATTTCAATGACAAACTCATCTTTCAATAGTTTTTTTTATTAATTTATTAACAGACTGCTACACAATCTTTGAAACATGCAAACTTCCTGATTTTTATTTACATACAATTATGCATTTCATATTTTGAAGCTGATAGTAAATATGTACTCATTCAGGCATTATATTGCTTTTCACAGTGTCCTCTGCCCTGCATAGATAGTTTGCTTCTCTCTCTTGGAAACTCGCCTATTCTCTTGTGCTTTTGCAACAGTGCATTATTATTTGCCATCTAGATTTCAAGATGAGTGTTACATTATTTTTTGTTCAGTTTCAAGTCTATAACCAAAAGCTGCATAATTTTTGCTTTCAGTGTAGCTCCTTTTGCTCCCAGTAGACCACTTTATAACTCTTGGAATAAACCCAAACGCATCTTACCTTACCTTATCTGAAGACGTGTTACTTTCATCTGTGACATTCCCGTCCTTTTTCAAATCATGTTTAAGTTGTGCGCTAACTTCTTTTAAATCCTGCTCTTTTTCTATTTCCCCTGTAACCTTGTCACCAATATCATTTTCTACAATTCCCTTAGATCCCTCCTCCCCTTCACCTCCTTGTGATTTTACGTTATCCTGCTGACTGTCACACTCCTGCTCAGTATTTTCCTGTCTACTGTCTTTACTATGGTCACTTTCTTCTTCGCTCCCTCTTTTGCTGCACAGTTGCCCTGGCAGCACCAGTGTCTCTTCAGGATCTTCATATTCGGACAAGATGATTTCCCTTGTGGTCTCGGTGATGATCTCCTCCACAAACTTGTACTGGGGCTCGGGGCGGCGGTGAGGGCCTCCTGGTCTGTTGATGGAGGGCAGAGTGTAGACTGGAGACTGGTGGTAGATGTAGGGCAGAGACACAGGGCTGTCCGTCACAGAGGAGAGCCGTGCTTCCTCACCGCACAGAAGTTTCCTACAAGAAAACAGAGATACTAATAAATGACAGATAATAAGTGAACATATGTCAAAGGAGACATATGTAAAATCTTCCTTTATGAGCTTTTAACAGTGTTCCTTCATCACTGTCTTAATTTGAGATGTATTTTGATGGATTCATGCAGGTTAAAAAAAATCCTACATTCTCCTGCAACTGTGAACTGTGACCTTTCTGTCCTTGAGGCCCTTTGTAAGAAACTGAAATTTTTAGCAACTTAATTTTTTTTGCTTGTTTATTATCACAGTGTTATTTATCACAGTGTCAAAATGTATTTTTTTATGCTTCATGGTGCACTTCAAGCTACTTGCACATGTTTTCCAATGTGTTATTTAACTAGAAATGTCAAATAAAATAACCTAATGTAACCTATTTGAAGCTTGAATGATACATACATTACATTACATACAATACAATGTCTGTTTTCACCTTCCTCTTATCCACCCACTGCTCAGTTCTTACTTGTGATTATGTAAAAAAAATATATATAAATCTGTTTCCAGGTCACAATGAACAAAAATTGCTCTGGGACATTTCTAAAAATAAAAAATTTACAATCTGCTGCTTTAGTGAAATGTCATCTAATTCAAGGCCTCTCAGTTCTGTAATTTTGAAAAAGGAAGAAAAGGAAGGAGCCATTTCTATTATTAGACCATTATCAATATTGCAATTTATAAGGTAAAATATGAAATACCCTCAAAATACATTATGTCTTCATTAATATGGCAGTAGATTATGTTTTATTTTTCCTCCATTTGGATAGACCATGAAGAAAAAACACTTTTAACCACAATTCTGATTTCTGACAAACCCTTCAGCAAGAAAGTCCTGATCAAGCTTTGTTCAAGACCTACTGTAGTAGACAGGTTCTTGGGCACAGCTCTTCACCACCCACTGCTCCTGACACGGTGTCAGAGCATCTTTGAAAGATGGGTCAAATGCAGAGAACAAAAAACACTATGTACACAACCTAACTGTTTATTGGTACAGGCGTGATGTAATGTTTATAAACATCTGATGTTTAATATTGAGCAGTTAGCTTCATTGATTCATCATAAACTCAAGACAACACTGTGAATACCTATATGTTATTCATATTAAAATCATATTATGAAAGGTTTTACATAAGCACCATCATAATTTACATCGTTAAAGGCTCTAAATTGTTTACACCAGTCTCAGTGCACTGTTTTATATAATTTCATTCTCATCCTGAAAAAGCCTTTTACAAAGCAGCAGTTCCCTGGATGGCTGTGAGCTATAACTTTGACGAGATGAACTTTGAAATATAGAGCAAATCGTGAATATACCTATATTAAAAAGTCATTTGAGATATGTGCACTGTATTTGCATGAACCCGTCTTACCTGTAGGACAGTATTTCCACATCCAGCGCCATCTTCACATTTAGCAGGTCTTGGTATTCCCTCAGGTAACCAGACATGTCAAATTTACAATTTATGAGCTCGTTCTCAAGTTGTTTAATGGTGTCCTGGGGCAGAAGAAAAACATATTTGAGTTCATTCCAGGCCACCGTATCTTCTCATAAACTTCTAGTGTGTGACTTTACCTGGTAATGCAGGAGATCGTGCTTGTGGCGATCCTCTGCTTCACGGAGTTGCTTTTCCAGCGCCTCCTTCGTGCCTTTAGCGCTCTCCAGCTCCACATCCTTAGCTTGTAGTTGCCTCCTATAATCGTTTATCTCATGCTGACTCGCTCTCAGACATTCCCTTCTACTCTCGGCTGCCTCTGTCAACTTCGCGAACTGGGATGTGAAGGTTTCCTCTACCTGCTGTGCGTCACGACCCACGTGGCTCTCCAGTTGCGTCCTGATTTCCCTGAGTGCCGCAGTAACGCCGGGGCTCCCAAATTCGCGCGCTCTATAATTTTCTTCCGTGTTTTGTATGGCCTCCAGCATGTCAGACACTTCCGCCTCATGGCTCTTTTTGAGACAGTGCAGTTCCTCCACCTGAACCTTTACTTTCTTGTCCAGTTGCAGTTTGGCTTGATATGCGTCATCTATTTCTCTCTTTATGACCGTAATATCGCGCTCAGTGTCCGACCTGCTCTTCGCCTCCTTCTCGTGGCGCTTTCTTAAATCGCAAAGCTCCTCCTCCAAATTGCAGTGCTCAAGTTCAATTTGATGCTTTTGTTGAGTTATGTCTCGAACCAGCTGCCTCAACCGCCTCAGCTCCGGCCCGTACTGCTCCTCCAAAGACGAGACGGATTGCGCTCTCCCCCGAATCTCCCTTATCTCCCTCTCCAGTAGTTGGTTGTGCTGTTCTAACTGGTGCACCTTGTCTATGAAACCCGCGAGACGACCGTTAAGACCACGAAGCAAGTCTTTCTCATTCATTCTCGTGGTGGATGCGGTTCGCTCCAAATCCAGTCCCCTGCTCGTGTCTGTTCCCGCGCGTTTGATCTGATGCTGCAGATGCTCGCTTCTCCTATGCGGTATTATGGGGTCCATGATGTGCGTCGTATACGTAGGTTTATAGTGTGAAATCCCGTTGAAGAAAAGATTCACGTGGGCTTTTATAGAAGCCCCTATTCGCTCGCGCAGCACATAGTCGCTGTCCGAGGTGCTGACCAGGGGAAACGCCAGGAAGCGGTCAAATGGGAGCCGCGCGCACAACAGTGACGCACGCACAGGCAGAGTGCACATACAGTTACCCTACCAGGGAGGTCAGAATCAATAGCAATTTGTTTATGTATGCTGTACATCCTGGTTCAGCTTTGGATTGACTTTATGTCTCAGGACTACTTTGCAAATGTGACAAACAAGGCAGACTAAAAGCTGTTCTTCGTTCGTTTTCGTTTTATTCAACAAGCTTTTCTTTCTTTATTTGAATGTAGCACTGAGATTGAGAATCAAATTTTTAGGGGATTTCTGGAGGGACCCTTTGGTACATGCTTTTAGTGATAGGACGGGATAGGATAGAGCACCCTGAAAATAACAAGCAAACTCCACACCAGGTCCCACACTGCTCAAATAAAACCCAGGACCTTCTTGATGTGACGTGTGAGTACTAGATACTGTGCCATCATAATCAGGTGTTCTAGGAGTTTTTAGTATCAGCAATGGTAGTAGTCTGTGTTGTAGAGTAGAAGGGAACTGAAAGCAATATATCATACATTTTAGCTATTGCACAGAGAAAAAAGTGTAATGGTTTAAAAAACTTGAGTCATTGGAAAAGATTAATATTGCACCTAAGGACAATGAAGAAAAACAGAAATGGAGTTTGTTTATGAAATACTGCAAATCATTAAAACCTCCTTTCCAGCCTTTAGACTGACAGACTGACCCCCGCTTACTTCTTCTTTCTCATCCTCTACCTCTTTACCTTTTGATATTAATTATTCATGATTATTATCTTTTAATTGTTTAGCTTTTAAAATTTTTGATAACATCTGGATTTGACACTTATTAAGTTGGTAGTTTTGCAAATAAGAAAAATGTAAAAGGAAAAAAAATGTGATTTGTATATCTTGTGAATATACTGTGATTCCTTAATAAAAATATTTATAAAACATAAAAAATAGCATATTCAAGGTATACTTTATTGCTCACATGTAGGAAAAGCTGTCCTCTGCATTTGACCCATTCAGTGCCATTGTGACAGCTGCAGGAGCTGTGGGTGTTTATACTGCAGCATCAGAGGACACTTCTCCAGAATCAGCAGCACAACATTCAACCAACAGAAAATGCTTTTATAGGTCAATGAGTAATATGAGCTGGAGGATAGGTCAAAATTCTTTGGTAAAAACTGTTGTAGTTCAGATTCAGATTGGAAATTTGTTGATCTGGTATATGGTTTATATATATGGTTTATATAGGCCTATCCTAACAAAACAAAAACTGGCATCAAGTCGAACATCTTACTAAAAATACTACGAATCAAAGTGAAATTATTTTTTCACAGAAGCGTCAAATAGTAGAGTTACATAAATTCTGCCCTCCATTGGAATGTAAATTCTATAACCTATCTATGGGTTTCAGAATGAACAAAAAAATAAGAACTTCTGCTGTAGCTATAGACAATTTAAAGGTGCACAATGTAACTTTTTGGTTGGGGGTCCATCACCTGCTTGTTTCTATGGACATGTCATTGCACTGCCTGGAATCTTCCACAGTACTGTATGACATTAAACAACTCTACTTAACATGTATTCAATTGCAGCTCAAACATACAGTACCTAGAAAAACAGGCATTCTGACTGTGAGCAGGGATTCCTTTTAACAGAATTTACCTGTAACTCAGTCTGGTTTAGTTTCCATGAAGATAGAAAGGTTTAATACCATACTGGGAATCATTTCAGACAAAGCAATAACATCTTCATGGCTAAAAGCATTTGACAGACCCTTCACGTGAAAAGTTACATCATGTGTTGAAGAGTCAAAACGTCACCCATACCATGAAACTGAAACCTGTGAAATGAAACAGCAGTAATTCTGTGGGTATAATGTCTATGGTGATTGTTACTATAAGGGCCTTTTGATTGCTATGGTCAGGCCGTCAGCCACAGTGAGCATGCTCAGATCGATCCTCTCGTCTTTATGCAACTTCTTATTCAGTGCATCAAGAGCTTTGGAGCTGACATCATCTTCAGCGGGATTCAGAACCTTCCCACTCCACAGCACCTGACACAGAACAGCATAGTTTTAATGATTTATTTACTTATTTTGGTTAGTATCAAGGCAATGTTGTAAAGAGTTGAGTTCTTACATTGTCAATAGCTATAATCCCATTGGTGCGGATCAGCTCTAGTGACTTCTCGTAATATGTGTCATAGTTGATCTTATCAGCGTCAATAAAAACAAAGTCATAGGTCCCAGATTCACCGGCCTGTATCAGCTCATCTGATTGAAACATATAATACATCAAATTAATATACTGAGTATAAAGAAACATGATATATATAAAAATATATATGAATTTTTAGTGTTGTCATGATACTAAAATTTCAAAACCTATTTAGAAATCAAGGATCAGACTCAATATTCAATACAAGACCTCTACTTTCAACAATAGGATGGAATTTACTACACCAAATAGTAGTAGTAATTGTAATCTTTCATGAAAAATAAAATAAGTGATACTGGTTTTAGTATTGTTTAGTATCTTAACAGTAATTTTAAAGTAAATTCTGCTAACTAGGCTACAGTCTTGTTGACAACTCTAATAGAAGTCACCATGACAGCATAGTCAAAAAATATTCAACCATTTAATTTAAAAAGTTGTGAAAATGAATAAACACAACTACTCAGGTAAAAATGAACAAGGTAAAAATGTTGTACTTTTTGGTGTTTTTTAATAATACCTGTTCAAATTACTATGTACTTTCAGTACTAGTCTACCTTTGACTGTGTATGGAATTTAGTCACTTACACACACTTTCACTCACCAAGAGTCTTAACTGCTTCCTGAATTCGCACCTCGATCTTATGTTCAACACCAGCCTGGAGGGAAAAGCACAAAGACAAATGGCACGGGGAAGGAGAAGAAGCTCGGTTTGTTTGTAAGACAACTTGATTTTCCTGACTTGCACCGCATTCCTGTTTCCTGAGCAGACACCTTTTATTGTCCTGTGTACAGCAGTTAGTGAAGACAGCCTGACAGGTCGAGATAGGCACTGTGCTATGGCTGCACTAATGAGATCAGACACACACATCAATCAAGACTTGAGCTCACAAAGCATTCAAAATGATAGCAAATATCATCTCAGTTATAGTCAGAGCTTGAAATTAACTATAAACATTTTTTTTTTTAAGTAGTTTGCTAGTTAGGGGTTTATCTAGGGGTTTAACAGTTGTCTTAATGATTTGTAAAATGTATAATATGCATAAATATTTAATTATAAAAGTGGATTATAAAAGTGCGTATGGCAGGTTTTAATGATTCTCTCATTTTGACTTAATATATTGTAGGATAATGTTAAACTAGAAAAAGAAGAAGAAAAAAAAGGAAAATTACAGGACAGTTCTAAAACATATTCATGACATCACATTGGGAGAATTCTATCTAAATGTTCAGCACAATTTAAATGTAAGAAACAAATGAAGGCCTATATTTGAAACCTAAAAAATGGGAACTGAGAATAAAATAATTCTCTTACACAATTAAAATGTAAGAAACAAATGAAGGCCTAAATTTGAACCCTAAAAAATGGGAACTGAGAATAAAATAATTCTCTTACATATAATGATTCAACTTGTCACAGGCAGTAAGAAAATGCAAAAAAATCAATGTGATTAGTGTTATAATTCAAACTAAAATGCAGTTGGCTTATTGGGTAGTATCATAATATCATCATAATATCCAGTCCTGACAATGAAATGTTATGGATTTATTCATTCAGGATCACCACAGGGACAGTTTTTATGCGAGGACCATGATTTGAGTGGACAGTGTTGATGAAATTTGAGTGGACAGTGCTGATGAAATTCCCATGAAGTTACAACCACTTACCTTTGGGTTAATGAGTTATGCTTTATCAGCTTTTCATAGTGTGTCAAATAATTGTTAAAATTGTGTTCCTTAATGATTAACTTCTACTGCCATCTGGCGGGGACTTTGTAGATTACAGTTCTCCGCCTCAAACTCTCAAGCCTGGAGTATCTACTACTATGGTAACCCACCAGTTAAGTAAAGCGCTATAATTTGACTAATGATAGTTATTATTATTTTTTAAATAAAACTGTTTTATACACCTCTTTGAAAAATGGTTTAGCAATTTCATAGTAGGTCTGCTCTATGTCACAGCCAACCACACGTCCATTGTCTGGCATTGCTAAGGCCATGCTCAGTGCATTGTACCCAGTGTACAACCCTGCAAGTAAAGGGAAAAAAGAAAATTATTTACACATTAGGCCAGGTGTAAGTTTGCAAACAGAGGTGAGCAGTACTCAGCTACATTTATTTGAGTATTTATTTTTAAAGAAATTGTGCTTCAGACCACATACTTTTACTCCTACTTGAGTAATATACTTAAAGTGTAACTATACCCTTACTGTCCTCCTACTGTAATTATAAGTGACAAAAGCTTTATGTTGACATTATGAAATGACTGTGATTATTGCACTGCTCCTTCCCATATGACTTCGTTTTTTTTTTATTATTATAATAATTTTTATGCCTGTCCTTTGAAATGACCAGATTATGTGTATTATTTAACGTTTTGTCCCTACAATTAGATTAACTTCAAATCATAAATCAGATGTTATGTCTCTTACTATGTACTTTTACCAGTAATATTATTTTGAAGTAACGTTACTCTTACTTGAGTACTACTTTTCGCTACCCACTTGTTTGCTAATAGAAGTATAAAGTACAGTATTCTAACCGATTTCGATAGCTTTGGTTCCATTGATGAGTCGGATAAGGTTTGCCATAAACTGAGCCTCTTCAGCTGCAACCATCATACGACTCCAACGATCTTCAAGAGTTCTCTGAAATAAATGAAAGATGTAGTAAAGGTAGAACAAAACATTTTATTTTGCATTTAAATTTTTGAGACTAGAATCAATTAAAACTACTAAAAAAAGTTCTATTCACAAGAAAGAAATGAGCTGTTCCCGAATAGCTTCAGAATGATCTTGAGCTGTATCAGACCACATAGATTCATATACACCCGTGGACCACTATGGAACCTACCTGAATGACTGAGGGATTACACAGATATAACATGCACATAATATAAAGGAACATACTTGGTATTGGAATCAGTATTGAATACCAAATCCTTTGTACTGAAATTGCGTTTGAAATTTTAGTATCATAACAAACAACACTAATTTCTATGTGGTACTTACCGCAAAATCTTCTCACTACCCAATATGTTTTGACCTGGTTCATGGGTCATCTCTGTAATTCTATCCAAATGTAACAAAACTTTAAAATCCTCTACCAGTTTGTGATGCCAATTACAAGACAGAAATGAAAATAAAGCTTCTAGTATATACATTTTCTAATACACATTTGTATCTTACCAGTTTGAGTTTGGTGAGTACAGGGTGTTCTCTTAAGGAGTTGTTGACCACATATTGCAGTATTGGATCATCTTTGCCTCCACTGTGACTCTTCCCAATGAAAGCAGAGTATCCCAAACCTACAGAACAAACAAAAACAGAATTGTAACAGAAATGCATCATGTATTTATTACTTAATTTTAGTGTTTTTATCTTATCTTTTAATCTCTGGGCCTGAAGGAACAAATTTTATGTGTTTCTCTTGCATGTGTAAATGACAAATAAAAAACCTTAAACCCTTGACTCTTGTTGTGTAGCATTATGGGATTGTCAAAAGTAGTGAAATTACAAATCAATATTAAAACTAATATTAAAACTAGACTCACTGGAGCAGTTGTCGATACTAAAAAAGTCACATTCACAGAACATAAAAGAACCTTTCCTGAATAGCTTTAGAATGATCTTAAGTAGATCACAAAGACTAGTATACGCCCATGGACCACTATGGAACATAACTGAGGGGTTACACTGATTTAGGGATTACACAGATATAAAACTACACGGTAATATAAAAGAAAGTACTATTATTAGGCTAAAGTTGAAAATCACATTTTATTGTCTAAACAGAGTTTTTTTAAAAATTATCATTCTGGTATCAGAATTGGTTTTGAGTCCATTCCTTAGCACTGAAATCGATTTTACAAATTTTGTATTGTGACAACGCATATACAGTCAAATGCATATCTTTATACAGACCTGAGAATAGGACCAAAGCAGTACAGAATAAAACCACCATGTATGCAGCCATTATGATTGCTGGTCAGCACTTCTAGGCAAAAACTAAGTCCGGTTACTCTGAAAATGGGACATTCTTTGTTTGTTCTAGTTAACCTTTGACAGCATTTCTCAATTCATGTTTGAGCACATTGATTTTATACTTACCAGCCACATTATCTCATAATAAAATACATACAAAATTACAATTACAGGTCACATCCATGACTTTAGGTTATTAGTCATATCTGTAAAGACCTCCTCACTTTAAGAATATGAAGGGGTATTCATGTATTTGTGCAAGGTATATTCAATATACCTTGCACAAAATATACTATATTGCGATATATAATTCACAATTTAACAAATGCCAAATATATATGTTTAAAGCCCTACTTTGGAACATTCCAGGACAAACAATAATATCCCCATGGAGAAAGTGCACCTTTCGGAAAAAGTTTACATAGTTGGGAGTTGTTAATAACTTTGTCACAAGTTGGCCCTTTGTGTACTTAACATTACTTATCTTAATCTTCTATGCCATTTAACAACAATTATTTGTAGAATAAAATCAGTCTAAAGTGGCTCTTGAGTGCACTCAGTGTTGTCTCTGAGATAAACTTTTTTAAAGAGGCATTTGGGCTATTTTGTTGGATATGGGGTTTGTTTGAAGTGCTCTGTTGGTCCTCAGGTTTCTGCTGTCCTCTACTGGTTATATTATGCTTTGCACTATGTTACGACCCAGAGGTCCCGGGTTCAAATCCCGGACGAGCCCCCAATTTGTTACGACCCAGCTCGTTTGGGGTGAGGGAAGTAACAAAAATAAAACCAAGATGTAAAATGGAATAAATTAAGTAATGTTTAATTAACAGGAATGTAAAGGTAAATTAACAAAACACTAAAAATATACAGAAAATAACCTAAACTAAGAAACAAAACAACAGAATAAACAGAGTTTTGTGCCATAAAAGGGGTCACGCAGGTTTACAAAAAACAAGTGGTAAAACTTAGGGACACATACTAAACTAAAACACAAGTTCCCCAAATTAAACCACATAAACCCACAAACAGAATCGAGTGACCAAATCAAAAAAGGCACAAAACAGAACTAGACTAACACACAAACACAAAACCAAAATGGCATACTGGCCACCAAGGCCAGTAGCCCCAAACAGGTGCTGGCAATCTCCTTAAATAGGGGGAGGTGGCTGCAGGTGAGGTGGGCGTCGACTTGCCCCACCAATCACAGACCAGGGCTCGTGCAGCAGGAATCAAGAGACCTCTGCAGAAATATTAGAACTAAGGCCTGGGGCCGTAACACACTATATTAATAATAATGCATCAGTTTTATATAGCACTTTTTGGACACTCAAAGATGCTTTATAGAGCATTATTCATTCAGTCCACACCCAGTGGTGGTAAGATTCTACTGTAGCCACAGCTGCCCTGGGCCAGACTGACAAAAGTGAAGCTGCAAATCTGCACTATCAGCCCCTCTAACCACCACTTTCATAGTAGGCAATGAGGGTGAAGTGCCTTGCTTAAGGACACAAGGCCTGTTTTTTTTGCATTGTTGCATGCAACATTTTTTTTTTACAGTTGGCGCCACCCTGTGTCACCTGTTTTTCCCAGTTGTCTCCCATCCAAGTCCTAACCAGGCCCAGCCCTGCTTAGCTTCTGAGATCTGACAGGATCAGGCTTTGACAAGCCAGTATGGTATATTGACTCTGAGAATTTTATTTCCAATAGTCAATCAATCAATCCCTTGTACATGATGATAAAAATACCATCTATAAGGTTTAAACTACACCATTCAAACTAAACACATCACATCATCACATAACCTTAGCAGTTACTAATAGTTTGAACAATATAAACTTGATATAATTTGCATTTCATCTAGGCCTTAGTTGAATTACATTGATTACATTTACATGTATTTATTTTTTGGAAAGTAAGTCCACAAATCCACAAAGATAGCTAGCACAGTAGGTCTAGGCTTATTTCTTTTATTCAATCTGGTGGTGGTCGGGTCATTTTATATGTTCAAATCCAGTAGGCTAGAAGCTTAGTACTTACTACTAACAATTGTACTGTTGATTATTCTTAATTAGAGTCTACACAAACATTGGCCAATGTGATGGCCAATATATGTATATTGGTGTTAAGGTTCTAAAGATCTATTAGAGATCATTAGAAAGCAGAGCCTGAGCCTCTCATTCTGGTTATCAGCTCCAACGCTGAAATCCAGTTGATTTAAACCTAAAAGTTCTCTCTACCTAAACCCGAGCACCTGTAGTGCTGGTCATATAATGGTACTGGTGCAGCCTCTGCAGCTCAATCAGTGAGTTCCAGTGGTTCTGCCTTCTTGGCATCTGCCTGCTGAGAATGAGAAAATCTTGTGTCTTGTAGCCTTAGGGCATGCTTATGCAGTTTAAGTTGTGATTGCAGTAGACATTTTTAAACTGTAATAGTGCAAGCAACATACTTACCATGGGTAAATTCAAGGAAACTTTTTCTAGGAGGACACTCAGGCCCTAAATTTATTCCTTCGCCTAAGAAGAATAGACTAGGCCTATAACAAAAACATGCCACCAACAGGAATATCTCAAACAAACGAGCTACGACACGAAGCACATTTTAAATGTTTGAGACTATAAAAGAAAGAAGGGATGTCTGGACCTGTAATGGTAGAATGCGCGCCACTGAAAATGAAGCGCGTGTTTTTCTCTCTATCCCCCTCTCCCGCGGCTGCTCCGGGCCTCTGCTCTGCCTATGTGACGCTAATTGTTTCTGCTACTTGTGCCAAGTACCTACTCTTCCCCGGCACATTCTGCAGACAGGCCGTGGTCCCTCCGCTGCTTTTTGTGTCTGTTTAAGGAATAAAAAATGTGCGCTGCCATCTGCAACGAGCCCTCCACTGTTCCTCTGCTCGAGCCCGTGTCTGTCAGCGTGCTACAACCGTACACTACTCTCAGGTGAGGAGAAGTGAAACAAGAAAGAAAAGTGACACGTACAACTGATAATATGAAACAAAATTATTCAAGAGGCTCCTGTTTGTGTTTTGGGCCAGGAACACTAAGTACCCCACCAGTATTTTAAAGCCAACAAAGAAGAAACTATTCCAGACATGTAAGCTAGCTTGCTATCACCTGCTCGCTACATCCATGCTCGCTACCCATGCTAAATGCTTCATGTATAGCTGTGCTCAGAGGGCTCAAAGTACTGTGAGTGTATGCCTCAAGGAGTCTACAAAATAAATAGTATAAACTAACAAAACTTAATCAAATTTAAAATATAATAAAAGTTAGTCTAAATAACAAATGCAGCGACAACACGCCGGGTGTTTTATATCGTAGACTATGGCGACACAATGCACATACAGACACACACAGACTAAATAAATAAATAAAATAAAATACAAAATCTGTTTGAACAATACACATTTTGTGACTAACTAATGGATAGCTTGTGACTGTAATTTAATGTGTGAGAGACTTGTTTAAGCTCACAAATCATCTCACCTGTTCTAGTTCCAACCTGCCAAGTCAGATCCTTCTGGTCAGGTTGTGTTAAAAATAAAACTAGATTAAAGTCTAACTTGAGTAACTTTGCAGCTGCAAAGTATCAGTAGGCTAACTGATTATGAAGGTGCTAATGTGGTAACATATATTGACATTATATGGATGTTAAACTTATAAATAGCCTATACCCAGAATGTAAGAAACTATCCTTTATAAGGCCCATATTATGCTATTTTTGATCTATATTATGTTTCCTCATCAAGAACATCCGTGAAGTAGTGTTTCGTTTCCTTCACACATGACTACAGAGTGGTAAGCTGTTTTGTGGCTACAAGGAAAGAAGCTAGCTATGGACATTTGAGATGCTACATGCTTTTTGCACCATATGTGGCAACACATGTGAGAGAAGATCTTCCAGAGGAAACACGTTAAGGCAATGAACCATTTCATCACCACCAGAAACACCAGAAAAGGTAGGAGTGAGGCCTTTCCTGTTGTGTTTACCTGGTTCCACCTAGACACACCTGTGATGCTGCAGGACACAGAGGAGGGACACCTTTGGTTCTTCCTCAAACTGCTCTGACAGAATCTGCTGATCCTACCTGACCAGTCCTCCTGTGAAACTGCAACAGTTTGCTACAGCAAAACTGGACTTTTCCTTGGAATTAATAAAGTATCTGTCTGTTTAACACTCAAACCTTGCATATTGCTGAGTTCTTCTCTCAGACAGAAACTGTTCCACCTTATGATATCATGTGATAATGCAGGATGTGCTCCACTGTGTTTTTAAACTTCATACATCTTCACTATAACCATTTGGATAACTTCAACCCTGAAACTGGTAGCTGTTAATTTGAAAACCACAACTACATGACATCACAAGGTGGAAGAGAGCATTTTAGGTTTTGAAGATTTGGACAGACTAATAATAAAGAGTTACTAAAACGTGTGAATGAAACAAAACACAACTCCATGTATGTGTTTGAGGCAGTAACATAATATGGCTAAAAGCTTCGAGTCAGTTTTGTGTTAAATAGGGCCTTTAAAGATAATATGCTCAATTTAGTTTTTATATATATATATTTTATATTATTGGAAAAAATACTGCGTTATTATCCACTTTTTAAAATACTGTATCTTCTGAATTACATACCATGCAGTGACTAGTAAATATATACAGTACACCAATCTGACCAGAAAGTGGCAGTGTTGTCAAAGTAATCAGAAGACACGTCTGGGCCTCCTCCCCATACATAGTCAGTAATATCACTCTCCTCTTGTTGAATTGACCTGTGACACAACTACACAGTAACATGCATGTAATGACACCCCACTGTTAGCCGCATCATTTGTGTGTTTATCACAGGGTCCTACTTATGATGCAGCTTCAGCGCCAGTCACTCAGCCGTCAGGCGCGCACGCAGGAATACCAAGTGACGCTAATCACAATGGAGAGACCAACGTCAAGGCGACTGACAGACATTTCTCAGCATCCAATTGACAACCTCTGATTCGTCCTCCATTTGACAGCAGCGTCTACCAGCTTGACAAGTCTGTTTAAG